TTCATCGTTTATCCAAAAAGCAATTTTGAATCTTCAAAAGTGTCAGGAGGGGATTCAGCCTCACTACACCCTGAAAACAATACATAAAGATTCACAAGAGCACTCATGATTCTGAAATGTAAGATTATTTTGTTTACCATAAAAATAACCTAAAATGATGCCTGAAAGTAATCAAAATTTGCCTAAATAAATCAAAATATGTAATAAAATTAGCTCTTTGAAATCTGAAAATGCCAGAAATGAAATCAGCATCCTCTAAAACCTTGAAAACCACTCACATATTGTTGAAATTGGCCATACAGTACAAAATATCTGGTCAAAATGGACGATTAAGCTAAATTAGCATCCGGCAGTTTCTGAATGCTGGGGACCCATACTTCACATTTCTGCAATACAATTTTGGTGTACTCAACATTTCACTGTTCACCTAGTTGGCTACTAGACTAGAACAATCTCAGAACGTAGCTGAATAATAAACAGTCCTGTTTGTTGCTGGTGCTGACTGGTGCAAGTGGGCTGATTGACGACTGAAGATAACTGGTGAAGACTGAAGACAGATGACTGAATAAGATCTCAGGGATGAGCGTACCAGGTGAGTATACTAGTGATGTTCGGTTCTTGAACGAATCGTTCTTTTGAGCCGGTTCATTAATCGAACTTTAGTTCCAGGTTGATGACGCAAGAAGTACAAGCCGAAGTAGCACGTCTGCCTCAAAAAGACCCGAAAGAGCCGGTTCAACCAACTGTCGAATTTGCAGAGGATTACTGAGGAGTCTGATAAGTGAGTTGTGTAGGAAACTCAGAAGAGAAGACCAGGAGACTTGGTTGTATCTTCAGCAGGATTCTTTATTGAGAACACGAGCTGTCGGTAGCTGCAGTCATCAAGTCTAACTAAGGGAACTTTACATGGTATCTTATAGGCATTCAATGGGAAGTCCTTAAAGGTGCTGACAGTCCTTAAAAGTGTTTACCTTACACACAGCCTCTGAGATGACCACTAAATCGAATCATCTAAAGACAAGAGCCAATTACCCCCGACTAAAGATAATGGCACCCCCCAAATTGTATAAACATCACATGGTCACAAGAACTAAGACTATGTAATCATTCACACATAGTTTGATTCTCAGTAGGAAGATCAAAGACTGACAAAACCCCTTCAATGGAAAATATATTGAATTTAATCAGTAAATTGAAGCCCTCATGTTAACCTTGAATGCCCAATACAGTGTAGTTCACCATGTGATGTTATGTAAGGATGTAGGATCAGCAGATCTTAAACATATTCTTAAATTTGTAATCCTACAGTTGGCAATACTAAGCAAGACTGTGGCACGTACTGGAAATATGCCTACTATGACGACTACTGTTATTAAATAACATTTTATTAAAACCTGCAAAAACATTTGTCGAGAGATATAAACAAATTTTACAATAGTTTATTGTGCATTCAGATTATATTTTAAGTTAAGCTAAATCAGGTAGTTTAAAAGACTGGTTTATTCTTTCTATATACTTTAGACGTGTAGAACATATCTGCGTTTATGCATGTCTATAATGTGTGCTGTAGGTGCGAAACATTTAGGAATCTTATCCAATATGTAGGCTACTCGATACTGGTCAGTCATATCCGACAAAGGTTCCGCGAATGATACTGTGACCACAAACACCATTAACTTAAGTGAATAATAAGCAATATGCGTTCCACAAATAACTCTTTTTTTTTAATGTTTCATTGATATAACATGGCACTGAATTGTTAGAAAAGAAATACGTAGTACAATCACTGCTTAATGACGTAATGAACCGATGAATCGTTTTTTGAACGGGTTCATTGAAATGAACTAAAAGAACCAGTTTGTGGAAATGAATAGGACTTCACCATACCTGTCAAGTATCCCGTTTGGCCAGGAAAGTCCCGTATTTTACCCTTCTTTCCCGCCGCCCTCCCGTATTAGGATTTTCCCGTAAATCTCCCGTATTTTAACCTGCGTAATTGAAAAATAATAATACCCCGGGCGGAGTAAAAAAACTAAAAAACATTCCCAATCTGAGCTCTGTCACTAGCCTCGCGATAACTACAGGTACTGTAGGTGGCAGTTGTCGCGAGGTTAGTGTGTGAGGTCAGATGATGAGTGACAACATGGGGAAAACAAAAATCAAACAAAAACAGAGTCGGATGATGGACGCTATGACAGAGCAAGGCACTCCTGCCAAAAAAACAAAACCCTCATGTACTAAATACCGCGATCAATGGGATAGCGAATTTACTTTTCTGAAGAGGAGCAGGGTGGGGGACAGTCACGCATTTTTTAAGTTTTGTAACTGCGACTTTAGCATCTCACACGGGGAAGGAATGATGTATGTCAGCACGAGAAAGGGTGTTTAGCATGGTACGAAAGATTGTTACAGAGAATAGGATGACGTTAGACAACAGAACTGTTTGCTCTACTCTCATGTAAAATTAACCACTCTGGCCCAGCCCACAAATGAACTCCTTCCAAAACAGTTAATACAAAGTCTGCAACAAATTTGTTCAATAACTCACTAAAAGAGTAAAAAAAAAAAAAAACTGCAAATGAAAAGAAAAAAAGAAAAGCAATATGAAATGAAAATAATGTGTGGAATGAAAATAAAATGTAAATGTAAAGACAAGCAATGTTAAATGAACACAAAATAAGCAAATAAGCCTTTAAATAAATGCTCTTAATATATATGCTGTTAATATATATACCCTATATATATATATATATATATATATATATATCCTATATATATATATATATATATATATATATATATATAACAACTGTCTTAAAAAGTAAGGGATACATACTGGAGCTTGGTTGGGGTGGTGGCTCGCGGTGGGCGCTGGAAAATTTCCCTTATTTTCAAATCCAAAACTTGACAGGTATGGACTTCACTAGAGTATACACAGGTAAGGAGCCAGATAAGGTGCACGGTAGGAAAAACAAGACCAGACAGTGGTTAACTGGAAGGTGACTGCTTATAAAGGGGAGCTGTGATGAGTGGGAGCAGGTGTGACTGATTAGACTGATTGTGAACGATTGGGTGGAGTGGAAAGATCTTGTGCTGAAGGTTTGTTTCCGACTCCGTTACAGTGGTTTTAATTATTATGCTTTTAAATAAGAAAGAGGTGTTTTTTTTTTTTAAAACAAATAAATACATTTAAAACCTCTTATGTTAAAGTTTGGTGTGTTTGCCATATTGTGTCATAGTGAAAGTGTGTTAGAGGATGTTGAAGCGGAAGTGCGTTTTACAGCAGAGGGCACTACTGATGTTCACTGCTGATCTGTCCACCGAATTACAGCTTAACATATGGTAGATTTACGATCTTGAAAACTGAACTGCTATTTGGAAACAAAAAAAAAAAAGTTATTTGAGCTGATGGCAGTGTGTGTCTGTGTGTCATGTGATCCTGGATCTTTCGGCTGAAAGATGACAAATGAACACTATTTAGAGCTTCATCATGTGTCCTTTCACTTTCTAAAAAGGTAAGTACTTTTTGTTTTTACACAAGTTTTTGTAAAACTCAAACACTATATTTAATGATGCTCAAAATGGAAGCAGATTATGACACGGAGTGAAAATATATTGGTATAAATTTCCTTTCAGTTCATAAAAATATAATTTAACAACCTTAGCCCATTCTGATGCATCACAGAGCAGTCTAATCAGAGCAGTCTAAAATTAAACTACAAATAATCTATTGCTTCCTTTAGTTTACTATTACTTTATTTGCTACATTTAAACTTTTAATTTACACTAAACTGCCTCAACTATTTAACTGCGATGGAAATAGAAGGTTTCGGTTAGCAGGTGCAACTTTATGATCAGATAAGATGATGATGAAAACCCACTGCAGAACCAATTACAAATGTTTTATTATTTCTTAAAGCTAAAGTCATTTTCTTTAATTAAATGGGGCCTATTTTGTGAAATCTTGTGGAAAATGTTTAAAACGTTAGTTGCTGCGCGATAAATTCCTTTTAAAATAAAATGAAAAACATTGAAAAACACAAGACAGAAAACACCCTAGAACTAATTACACTTATAGTAGCTAATTGTGATCTGATCAGTGACCATGTTTGCATGCACATCTTTTGCTCATAGTAATTGGGTTGATGCATTTACATGACGGTTACATACGCATATGACCTGATTCTTATCTGAAAATTCTCATGCATGCAAACGCAGTCAGTGTCTCTTTCATTAACAGTGAAATCAATGCAACAACCTTTTTTATAACACAACATGTTCTAGTCCTTACATAAAGAAGAGATTCCTATAAAATACAACAATGTGGTGGGTGAATAACTACAGATTTTATAATCATATGCATTGTATATTGTTAGCTTACTGATTTGAGATGAAGATTAGTAAGACGGTGCCGCAAGTATTCTGTTCACTGGACATCAACAGGCCTACAAGCAAGCATAAACATAAGGAATTAGATGTAAAATTCATATTCAGTTATACATGCATGATTTATTCAATTTGAAAGCACACATAATTCTTAATTAAAGGAGACCATCAACTCATTTCCAACCATTATTCACTATGAAACTGCTGATGGCAGCAAATCTCTGCCAGTACATGTTCACCACAGGACACATTCACAGAAACACTGACCTTTCTCAATGTGTGAATGACAAATTGTGGCTAAGCTGATACAAGAATAATGCAACCATAATTTACATTGGCAACATTTACATTTGATTGGATTGAAAGATGCACATTGTAGGATGCCATGTACAACAACACTGTCATTGTAGACTTTAATTCTGACAGTACAGATTCTAATATAGCTTTCGATGTACCATTTACCATCGGAAAGCCCACTTCTTTATCCTCCTCCATTTCACAGATGAAGCTATGAGACAAATAGTAGCAGATTGAGAAAATAGCTTGTGGTTATAACCCCGGAAGTCTCTGAGAATAAAGAGAAAGATGACATTTCCTGAACTTCCTTGAACCCTCTCAGGCCTTTAGACATTTGCTGCAGCTATAAGAGGACACAAGCACAATTCCTTAGTCAGCAGTATAAACTGAACCTACTTCCCATTTTCAGAAGTGCTTTTGAGTTATTCAGGGGGTTTTTTTATGCGTTGTGCCGACCTCGTCTATGTTTGTTATGATATGGTTTTGCATCTTATGGTATTCAATGCATCTTGATGGGTCATTTTGATGCACTAAAAAAGTGCATTACGGACATAAAGAAACGAGTGAGGTAAGCAATGCATGATCACTTTTTACCACAGAAATATATGTATCATGGGCATCTTCTAAAGATGCCCAAACTGCTCAAGACTATTTTAAATACAAATAACAAACTGGAAGAAAAAAAGTGGGTAACACTATTTTACAGTGTCATTGTTACATATGTTACAAGCAGTTATAGTAATAACGGTAGCACTTTATTTTACAGTCCTGTTCCGACCGCATGTACATACTACGCATGTACGTACAATAACTGGGTTATAATTAGGTACTAACCTTGAACCTACCCCTAAACCTAACCCATGTAGTTACCTTATATAACCAAGTACACATACTGTAAAATAAAGTGTAACAGTAATAACTATAAATGATGCATAATTACATGCAACTTACCCTAAACCAAACCCTACAGTAAGTACATGTAGTTACTTAATATTACTCAGTACTTAAACGTATAATAATAGTGTAATGAAGACACCTTAAAATAAAGTGCAAGCAAAAAGTGTTTGATTTTAATTGTGACATTCGGTTTACAGTCAATGAACAGATCAGTAATACAGTCAGTGCATAATGTCTTAGTAATACTTGCATGCATTGACCTCAGTGGGGTTGCGATCGGTGTTGCAAACTTTGATTGTGTTATACTGTATGCACAGATATGGTTAAAAGAGCTCAATGCAGTTGATGGCTCATTTGTTGAGCCAAATATTTGAGTTGCAGTTTCTAATGGTTGTAATTGAAAACACACGTACAGTGTTTTAATAGTCGACTGTACTGTAGTGAGCAGGTGAGCTGGGTTTACCTCAAGAATAGATAAAGTTTAAAGTTTAGCTAGAAGTATAAATTAAACTTGAAATGTGACCGTTGTGGCGCAACTCAACAAGTTACTCAGCTAATGTTGAGATGAATAGTCATAAAAATAGAAATTAATTTGTCATTTATTTTTTGCTTGAGGCGCACAAGAGTTGAGATTTTAATTTTATGCAAATACACACATAAAGTATTTAAATATGATGGTGTTAAATTCATAAGTATTTAATTCAATAAATAATAATGCTGAGGATACAACTGAAAAGTGACCCATAATTCCATGCTTAGAAACCTATAACAATTGTCACCTTTGAACTACAATAATAATTGAATTCTTAAAAATAATATATTTAAAAATAATATATATAAAATATATATAGAATTGATCATCTTCATGAATTCCAATATTCCACCCGAGCAGTTGGATGGAGAAAAAAAAAATTAAGTAAAAAGTAAAGAATAATGTTTACACATATTACACCAATTGTTGTAACTTACAACTATGTCTCAGTAAATGTGTGAAGCACAACTACGGAATTCCAAAAACTGTTAATAATGCACACGGTCATGCAATGAAGCTGAACATGTTAAAGCAAGAAAAAAACGAGGCCGACAGAAAAAAAGCGCCTTCAATTGGTGTTAACTTAAAGACTGTTTAGTTTTTAAGTGTCTAATTTTTTTTTATTTTTTTTTTAAATAGACGAGGGTTTAGATGATGTTGTGCCTCAGCCTTCGAGAAAGTACAGAGCTTTCAGTTTTGTTTGTCTGTACACACACATTGTCACTTTTAAGTTTATTTCAAAAGGTCTAACAGTCGCCTTGTTCCAGTCACTGGTCAGAGTCTGACGGCTTCACGCACTCAGAGTAAAGTGAAGATGGAAACTTTCGAAACCACAGTGCACACTTGAGCCTTTGAATCAGATTAACACTGCAGCATCGGAGTGTCAGAGTGTTGAACGAATGATCTGTTAGCACACTTTCTTTAAACAACACACACAAAGTACATGCGTTTGTTATTCTGTACATTTGCAGACATTGTTTTGTAAGACAAACCTCAGATTGGTAATACTTTAGAGGTAGAAATGTATTTTTTTTTAATAATTAAATTGTTAAGCCAGTTTTGCCATGAGAGATTCAATTCACTGAATTTATGTGAAAATGTTTATACACCAAAAATTATATTTCTTTTAGGACAGCAGCATCTTTCAAAGAGCTTTTAGATAGAGATCAAACTGTCGTCCTATATTCTGAGAAGACCATGTGACAGGAAGTGATAAGATGGTGTCTATACTTCATATTCTAAGAGGAAGCATCAGACTGAGTCATGGTGTGAATTTATTGTATCTGTTGTGGGTGGAAAAATAAAATATTATTAGTTTTCTAAAGACAGATTCCTGTCTGTATGAAAAATGAACAAATTAATCTCAGACACGATCTAGACTTTGACAAGTGTAAATGGAAATAAACTGTGAACAACATATATTAAAGTCGACATGAAATTAAAATGTGCACTACAGTAAATTCTCCTCTGCTCATCAAGACTGCATTTATATAAACATTGTGAACAAGGCTACAAATATTATGACAATTTAAAATAACTTTTCTATTAGAATATATTTTAAAATGTAATTTATGCCTGTGACAAAGCTTAATTTTCAGCATCATTACTCCAGTCTTCAGTGTCACTCTGTAACGAAGGGTCGAAGACGTTCGGATCCATGTGCAGTAACTTTATTCACAATAAGTAGACAGAGAGAATGCAGTAAACACAAACTGGTAAACAGGGAAGATCCAGGCTCAGCAACAATATCAGGCAGGGGTCGAGGCAGGCAGCAGACAGAAACACGGAGACCAGGAAAACAGGCAGGGATCAGGAAACCAGGAAAACTAAGGAATATAAACGCTCAGAGATGTAGGCCGTGGCAAATACAAGACTTCACCATGGTGTAGTGAGTGGAAGTGGTTTATATGTGTGTGTGAATGAGATGCAGGTGTGTGTAATCAGCACAGTGCAGGTGTATGGTGTAATCAGTCCAGGGAAATGCATGATGGGAAATGTAGTCCGTGATAAGCCAGGGAGTGCATGGCCAAGCGTGACACACTCATTCTAATATGCCGATTTGCTGCTTAAGAAACATTTATTATTATCACCAATGTTGAAAACAGTTGTGCTCCCTCATATTATTGAGTAAACTGTGGAAATCTTTTTCCCCTCTTTGATGAATAGAATGTTTAAAAGAACAGGATTTATTTGAAATAGAAATCTAGAAACATAATAAATGTATGTGTCATTTTTGATCAATTTAATGCATCCTTGCAGAATAAAAATAGAAATAAAAAATATATATTACTAACCTAAAACATGGTGCAGGTCTTTCCTACAAGACAAAAATGTTTGTCTTTGTAAACTTTCAGAAAAATATAAGATCTTGCTCTGTCTTGTTTTACAGGAAAACGCTATTTTTGAAAACCACTGACGGAATAACCAATGATGGAAAAGTTTCATGGTGACATTCAAACCTCCATGTAATTACATCCCCCTCAAACCATTAGTTTAACAGTACAGAAGTGGCACTTTAATCTTTCTAAAGATGACAGACAACCTGTACGAGACGAATCAGTTCAACAACCACACCAACAGGACCTATTTGTTCCAGCACAGCCCAAGTGCGTTGGGAGTAACTCACTACGGTGTACCTAACGTAAGCTTGATCCAATCATCTCCAATGTCTCCGCTACTCAACCACGAGCAACTAACATCTCCTGGCACTCCAGCACATGAACTTTCTCCAATGCTTGACATGCCAAACAGTGCCGGGGACTGGGAATATAATCAGTTTGGAAGGTCATCATGGGGATCTTCAAATGAAGAACTAGAAGAGACTAATCGAATCTACCCGTTTAACATCACGTCTCAGAACAACTCATCACTGACTTGCAAAGACAACGGCAGTGCTTCTCATCCTCAAAGGTTGGACTCATTCTCGCAGGCCTTCCCTACAAAAAATATTCACCCTCTCTTTGGTGATAGTAACAGAACAGATGATAAGCACTCAGAAAACCAAATTTCAGGATGTTTGCACTTACCTCAAAGTCTTCCAGAAGGATCGGACAGGCAATCTTTGGAGTCTCCAATTTTTAACACGATGGTCATTCAAGGCCAAACGCAAATGATATGTGAACAGCCCGACTTCCATCTGTCAGAGAGCCAACATTCACTGCACGGCCTTTACCAAAACCACCAGCAGTTTCACTATGGATACCAGCAACACAAACAGAAAGTGAACAACATGGAGCAGGTAAACAGGAGTCTCCATAAGCCACAAAGCCCTTGGCATCATCAGCACGGTTATCAAAGCCACCCAATGTCATATCCAATGGCCTTGAATCAACAACAAAAAGGGATATTTGCACATAAAACTCGCAATGACTCCCTAGAGAGCCATGAACCTGTTCAATCACCAACCTACGGCCACCGTCAAGACTTTAAAGTCCCAGAGCAGCAGATCTTCCATTACCAGGACCAACAGTATCTTCGTTCACTTTCACAACCTGGCAATCCTTACCTCACCCTTCAGTCCCAAGATCAATCAATCCCCGCAAAGCAAAACAACATGTTTAGTGATCACTCCGCACCCAGCACACCTGTGTTTTCAAGTCCCAAAGAAGATCAATCTGGTTTCAACTTCCCTCAAAGAAGTGAAGATCTTTGCAGTCCTCTTTATCAGAGCAAGAGTTCAGGGGTCTGTAAAGCTCTTCCACAGGCGACTATGAGAGGAGATATTTTTCAGAATCTCACTGCACATGCGCCTCAGTGGTCACAGGTACTGTATTTTTTATTTTAATACTTCATTAGCAACTCATTTTTATTTACGTTAAAGGTTTCTCAAAAATGTCTTGCAGGCATCTTCACCAGATATTCAAGATGAGGCTATTTCACCTCATTTCAGGTTTGACTCTAACCTTAACCCTACTTATCAATTTAGGCAAGTCAAAATCATTTTATAGCGCTTTTCACAATACCCATTGTTTCAAAGCAGCTTTACAGAAAATCATGTTGTGTTATGTTTATCATATCTTAAAGGAGTAGTTCACTTTTGAAAAAACTTTTGCTGATAATTTACTCACCCCCATGTCATCCAAGATGCCTATGTCTTTCTTTCCTCAGTCGAAAAGAAATTACGGTTTTTGATGAAAACATTCCAGGATTTTTCTCCATATAATGGACTTAAATGGGAACCATACGGTCCAAGGTCCAAAATACAGTTAATAACAGTTTGAGATGCAGCTTAAAATGTCTTTAAACGACACCAGACGATGAATAAGGGTCTTATCATGCGAAACGATCACTCATTTAAAAAATAAATAACAACGTTTAAGTTTTATAAGCTCACATGCTCGCCTTTCTCTGTTCTGTGTAACTCTCCTGTTCGAACTCGTTCATCAAAATGAACAAATCTTTTTCCGAGTCAATTCGTTCATTTCGGTCATTAAATGAATCAAATGACTCGAAAAAAGATTTGTTCATTTTGATGAACGAGTTCGAACAGGAGAGTCACACAGAACAGAGAAAGGCGAGCATGTGAGCTTATAAAACTTAAACGTTATTTATTTTTTAAATGAGCGATCGTTTCGCATGATAAGACCCTTATTCATCGTCTGGTGTCGTTTAAAGACATTTTAAGCTGCATCTCAAACTGTTATTAACTGTATTTTGGACCTTGGACCGTATGGTTCCCATTTAAGTCCATTATATGGAGAAAAATCCTGGAATGTTTTCATCAAAAACCGTAATTTCTTTTCGACTGAGGAAAGAAAGACATAGGCATCTTGGATGACATGGAGGTGAGTAAATTATCAGCAAAAGTTTTTTCAAAAGTGAACTACTCCTTTAATATATCTTCATGCAGCATATTTGCATTTAGCAGATTAGAGCTGGACGATAATATAGTTTACATTTTGTAATATTATAAACAATAAAGCAGTGAAGATTTGCTATAGAATAAAGTGAGTCCGGGTAAGGTTGGGGTTAGTGTTGTCAAAAAACTCGGTACTTCGGTACCAAGTCGGTACTAAAAAAAAATAACGGTTACGGTACCAGCTTTTCTAGGTACCGAGTACCGGGTTAATCCGGTTCTTGATGCGCTGTCCGAAAGGTGCAGAGTTGCGTCCTCTTCATAAAAACACTGAGACATGGCGACCAGCGGCGCTGCTAATGCGTTGGCTCTGAATCCACTTGTTGACAAGAAAGGAGGAAAGAGCCACATATGGAAATATGTTGAATTAGGCTAATGTCACGTTGCCATAAAGGGCCGTTCACACGTTCACATAGCACGTTTTTTGCGCGTGCAAATTTCAAATGTAGGCGCGCGGGAAGCGCGCTCATAATAGAAGCGACGTGCAAGCTTGTTTTTCCAGGCGCGTCACTGTTTATGGTTGCATAGCGGAGACACGCGAGAGCGAGCGCTTGTGGAGAGAAGGAGAAAGCGGTGCAAACTGCGCTCTCCGTGATGAAGAGGAAGTATTAGCAAAGAATTAATTGATTTCTAGCCCTTGCATTAGAAATCAGCTACAGGGTTCTCAAGTTTTGAAGACAGGCAAGAGTGACATTTTTGGCAGTTTTGGATTAAATAAAAGTAGGCCACAGTTAAGTCAAATAAAACATGTTTTATCTCCTGTATAGTTTGGTAACACTACAATAAGATACCATTCATTAACATTACTTGATGTGTTAACATCAACACATTGAGTGAACAATATATTTTTACAACATTAATTAATGTTTGTGAATGTTATTTAATACAAACACTTGCTTGTTCATGTTTGTTCACTTCATTCATTGTGCATTAAATAATGTTAACAGATAAAACTTTTGTTTTAAAAATGTATTAGTATATTTTTAAATTAACCCCAAGGAGAATAATTGCTACAGTATATAACTATGGTTTATTGTTAGGTCATTTTATCTAATGTTATCTAACAAATAGAATCTTATTGTAAAGTGTTTTTAATACTACAGTTTCCATCTTTGTAACTGTGATATACACTTTAATATATGTACATTTTATCTAAATTAAGCTTTGGTACCGAAATTGGTACCGAGAACCGTGGATTTTCACTGGTATTGGTACCGAATACTGACATTTTGGTACCGTGACAACACTAGTTGGGGTAAAATAATTTATAACAATTTGGTGTAGTGACAAGCCTAATTATTATTTGGTGATGTTTATCACTGACACAGTTAAGGGACGCATATAAATGACAGGATTAAAAAAACATCTGATAATATCGCCCAGCCCGAAGCAGTTTAACATAATAAAGCAGTCATGCCATAATACTTACACAATACATTGTACATAATATCTTTAGCCCCTAAGTGAACTAAACTCACATTATTTATATATTATACAGTAGTCAACATTTGAAGTGGATCAATCCCTTTCAAAGTTATACATGAATTTTGAACAATACCCGTTCTTGTCTTAGGACAACTTTGATGAACTTTTTTGATCCACTTCAAATGTTGGCAACTGTATAATATAGTATGTGGATTTGGATTTCTGTAGAGCAGAACCTGGGTTGTCCAGAGAGGAGGGATCTCATACAAAGATGAGATGCACCGTATGTCAGAGGGAATTCAAAAGTCTTCCGGCACTGAACGGCCACATGCGCTCACATGGAGGACTGCGAACACAACCCACATCCCTCAAAATGGTACGAACCAGACTAATTTTGATCATCTATGGGGTTGTTTGTGTAAAAGACGTAGAGTTTTGCATGAAATATGGCATGCTGATTTGCCCCATTGATTCAAGTTTCTTTCTTTCAACAGAGAGACGGGCACATTCATCTGTCTACTGAGGTTGCTCAAACCAACCCCATCATCTTACCTGTGTCAGTACCCGTCAAGGATTACCAGACCCCAAACAAACTTATGCTCAACCTTCTGTGCCACCAGAAAGATGATCAAAGCGGTTTAATTAAGTGTGGTGCACAGTCACCCCTCGCGTCTGTACAAAACCACCCTTCCTGTGTGAGTTTCTGGCATTAATACAGTTATTTTTAGCCGCTTGGAGTTTTGTAGCTGTTAGTCTGTTACAGTAGCTTCGAGGCTATATTGAAGCGGACACATTTTTGACAATTTACTTTTAGCAATATATGCATTTAAAATGTGCATTCTCTCAAAAATATTGATGACGAATCTTGCATTTAGGGGCCTGTACAAATATGTGTCCATTTGAATATTCCCTAAAACAAAAATGACCCTACCGAATGCCTTCTGCCACCAGATTTGCATTAGCAATAGCAAGGGGTTCATTTATGGCTGTGATGTAAACTAAAGGCTATTTAAAGAAACTATTTGATGTTTTGGCAAATTGGAGGCTAAACTTTATAAATTTGTACAATCTCATTTGTACATTTTTGAATGATCTGCAAACACACAACTGACTTGTTTAGGGGTGGACCTTTATGCTTTTTTTTTTTTTTCGTACAAATTTATATGAAATCACCAGCTTGTAGTTTGAGATTGGGTTGGCTATTTAACTTTGATTCTCTTCATTAGGGCCGACGCTAGTTATCTTTGGGCTCTCCAGGGAACCCAGACAATAACATTTAATTTTGTAACAGAATATATATATTTTTTTTTTTACAAATGTAATTTTACTCTGTTTATTAATGTTTTTACTCAAAATTTGTGCAGTTTTTGGAGGATTTATGATATATTTTAAATTTCTATAAATAAATAAATAAATAAATAAATATTTAAATAGGCTTTTTACAAAAAACAGCATTAAGTAAAATTCACTTTATAAAAGACCCAGATTTCTAACTTTCATTTCATTTCTAATTTTACATGGTTTAATGTAAGATTTTTTTGGGGAAAAAAATCACTTTAACCACTAGATAGCTATAGAGCTCCACTATATGCTATTTGACTAACCAAAAGATATCTTTTCACAAGTTGGATTCATATCTAAATATAATAAAATCACAATTATAACAACAACAAAAAAATACAAAGTTTAGGCCTAGCATTTTTTTGTACTGAAAAAAGTTTTTCACTAATGTTACATTATGATTAGAATCAAACCTGAACAAGATGTTACAAAGAGAAATGTTGGATTCTTTAGATTTGATCATTTATTTCAATCATCTGTTTTTAATATAATTCTACAATTTTAATCAACATTTCAGTTACTAACTGTAACAACAAAAATGAACAGAAATTAACTTTTTTTTTTAACTGTGTGTGTGTGTGCTAAATTGTTTTGTCTCATCCTTTCATCTCTCTCGTACTCTCTCTCTCTCCCTCCCTCTGTGTGTGTGTGTGTGTGTGTGTGTGTGTGTGTACACATGTGTCAGTGTAACCAATTTATTTTGTGGTGGTTCTGCATTTTGGATGATTTTTTTCCTGTCTGTGTATGTGTGTGTGTGTGTGCACTTTTTCAATGTGTCAGTGTCACCAATTTATTTTTGTGGTGGTTCTGCATTTTGGATGATTTTATTTTACAAATGATAAGAGAACAGTTTTTATAGTCTCAAAAATGTATTCCTATGTGTGTGTGTGTGTGTGTGTGTGTGTGTGCGTGCGCTTTTAGTTAATGCTATTCTCTCAAATGTGCAATGTACTAGAATAAATATTAATGTGGGACAAATATAAACCAATCAAGTACTTGAAAATGATTTTTGAAATTATTGAAAGTGTAGTTCCAGTATGCTTTCCAAGGAACAATGTTGTCAATTAGAATAATTACACATTACATTGTGGGGAAGAATAGAGCTTTTGCTTAGGCTGAAGACTGGTACATATATAATGTGTTTTTACCGCTTTATTTAAAGAGAAGACTTAACATTTAGCATGCTAATACTGTATGTGCTATTGTTTGCTAACAGTTCACTAGCTATATAGTGTAATTCAGTGATGTGACAAAAGATATATCTATAATTTAATAAATTCAATTCTGTCATGAAACCATGTAAAATCACTTTAAAACTACTTAATTTGGTTACTTTAAAATTACTCAAACAATGTTTTTCATCACTTCAACATTATCAAATTACGTTATGTAATCTCTGATTTCTCATTACACATTCTAGATAAAGAGATCCGCCTCGGATGAAGAATGTGCACCAAAGCAAGTAAAAAAGAGATACCGCCACTGTCTGGTCCCATTGATGATTCCACCGCCCGGTGCCGGTCAGGAGTCCCGAGGCGCTGTGCTCTTCCGCAGTCAGCTGAGGACAGCGAGCAGCATGGGGGACGACGTGCCGTACACTCCTCCACCAATGCTTAGCCCCGCACGCCCGGGCTCGGGCCTCTTCAGTGCTGTCAGCGGAAGAGGAAAGAGCAGTGAGTCTTCTGCAGACGGTAGAGAAGATTATTATATCTCTAGATTGTATGACAATAACAAAGATTAAGGAGTTATTTTTACTGAATTCTGGCCTGTTCACACCAAGGACAATAAATATGACAATAAAGATATAATTATAAAAATCTTCCTAAAAATGTAAAAGTATAGCAGAGTCCACACCTCAACTAACAAAGATGGCACGATGTCTTTGGAATAATTTTCAGAACTATTATTTCCAGCTGATGAACCATAAAAACATTGACAACCAATCAGAATCTATCCTGCTTTCGTTTTAGTTATCATCCATGGTGTGAACGGGCCTTTATTTTAGATGCATGGTGAATGCTTGTTACAGTAGCTGTATTTTCATCATTATAATATGCATTATCTATCTTTATCTATAACTAACAGGTGTTAAGGATGACTGTGGTGAGACTTCAAGGGAAAAAGCAATTAATGTAACTCCGTAAGTAGTTGTTTTTACGTAAAGATAATATGGGTGTAAATTCAATGCCACTAATGGCAACAAATTAAATGTTTTACCTGTGAAAAGCTGCTGCCATAATGCTTGGTGTTGTGGGTGGTTGCCAGGGCGTTGCTATACGATTGCTATGGTGTTGCTAGGTAGTTTTTTTCTACTGGCCCAACTAATACCCAGAGTTCATCCTCAAGTCTCAGTGGTATTCTGTTCTTTATGACACCATGGGCACATGGTGATGGAAAAGTATGAAATGAAAGAAAAAATACATATTTCAATGCTTTTGTGTTCACTACCAAAACTTCTACCCACAAACTTGTGGTTTTTCACACGAATGCAGAAGCACTGAAATAGTTCTTCCCTCCCATTTCATATTTTATTCCATCAGGTCTGCCAGATGGGAAAAAAAGCTTATTCACTTAGAAAAGTAATATCCCACCTCCTCAAGTTGCATGATTTGAGGTATACCATAACAAGATCGAAAATATTAGACACTTCACCTTTAAGCTTAACAATGTGTAACTGCAAATTATTTTACGGTCAACTGCTTGCTTTATTTATTACATTTAAATAATGTCAGATTAAAATAACCAGTAAATAAACAGTTCTTACATGTTCTCTACAGTCACATTAATGTTGGTAAAGAATTTCAAGCAAAGATCCCAAACATTCAGAGTAAACCCCTCACAGAGGAAGATACCCATAATGCTGTTCTTCTGTGGTTGCCCACCAAAGACCTGGATACCCCTGATAACCAGCAGAAAGGTAACTAAAGACACACACACAACTAAAAATTCACACACAAATGCGCTTAAAGAATGCAGCAACTACGGTGATTTTACAATGCAGAGCGGGCATTCTTATGTAAAAATAAAATTCACAAAGTAATAAAGTTAACTAGGCTAACACTGGTACACAAAATACAAACTATATTAATACGATGTGCATGTAATTTTTATACATTTTAAAAGGTTCTTTTTTTTTCCACAGTAAAAAAAAAAAAAAAAACGGTCCAAAAATCTGACTACCATTGATTTTTCCCTCCCTTTTAGTGGAAAATCTTCTGAAAATGGCTTGCTCTAGTGTACTACCTGGTGGCGGAGCAAACACAGAATATGTCCTTCACTGTCTTTTTGAGTGCAGAGGAGATATTATGGTAATTATATTTCTTATAATCGCTTCCTGACACTAAAACTTGTCTAAAAAGCCTTAAAATAACTATTATGTTCCAGAACACCCTGGAAAAGCTTCTCCTGTCAACGTTAAACACATCCAGCCACAAAACAGACTATCATTATGCAGGTGCGTGACTGTTCAAAAGATTTTGTACCCAAAAATAAAAAGAGACATTAATTCTGTCTTCCTTTTTACTGTGCTATCCTCACATGCAAGAAATCCTTCCTGAGGAAGTATAAGATAATAAATTAAGTAAAGGGACTTAAAATACTAAATGCATCACATTACAGTATTTCTTCTATTATCATCAACCAGGATCAGACAGGTGGACACTTCAGGAGAAACGGCAGCTAAACAAAGCACTTTTAAATCATCACAAAGACTTCCATCTCGTCCAGAAAATGGTAGTTGCAGTTATGCAATAAATAATAAACTTTTGTTTTCTGTAAATACATCAGCATTAATTTGGTTTGGTGACTGTAAGAATGTTTTTTATTTATTTAGGTCAAGACAAAGTCAGTGTCTCAGTGTGTCGAGTACTATTACACATGGAAAAAACATTTGCGTCTGGGTACGAGAATCAGTACAGCTCTGGCTACTCCTGTTCAAGACCAGCGGGTGAGTTACAGCGTGGTTTACTAGTTATACTCATCTGGGGGGCAAAAGCAGTGACCTGAGATTCAGTGTTTAAAAACTTAAGATGAAACAATTTAAAAGTGCAGGCGCTTTGATATGTTATCTTATTCAAAGACATTCAGACATTTTTAAGAGTGATTTAAGTGTATACATGCAGTACTTTCTGTAGTCAAATTATTACATTCATAGAGTGTTAAAATACTTAAATGTGAAATGCTACTACAGTCATTCGCTTACATGATCAAACTGAATGTTCATTTGATTTGAATGATCTATATTAATAAATATTTTTAATGCATAGCCTATATATTTCATTAGGGAGACTGGGCGATAAACAACACTGCACAACCGAACAAAGAATCCAACAGCAAAATATCAGAAAACTCCAGTGCTGTGTTTGTCTGTGAAGTGTCAAACTCTGTGAGTATCTATACTGAAACCTCTAGGTGCTTTCTCCACTTCCTGTAATTTACCTCACACCTTTCTCTAAAACATTAATGTATTCTGCCTCTGGATTCTGTGACATCTCATGCACTTACTCATCTATATGTCCTGTGTATTAATCTAAGTCGTGTTATTGTGTAGCACCTATCAGCTAGGGATGTCAATTTACATACATTCGTTGTTTAAATTAGCGATCAAGGAATCGATTATTCAATAACCTTAACCTCTTAAATCCGAAGCAGGGGCACTACTAAGTTATCATGTTATTTAACCACTTGCTTATCTAGCACCAAATAGGTGTCGTTTTCAAGCTTAGCAGCTTGGCTTTACAGTGAATATAGGAAATATGGCCATCACAAGTGCTTTTAATTTGCTGACATATTAGAAGTGCTCTATTTTCGTAGCATGAAAAAAATAACTGCGTTACATGAAAATGTGATCTGTAAAATCATAGTAGCCAACATAACAGACTTGTCATTTGACGTTGAAAAGGTCTCAACTAGCAGAATACAAGAAGCATATTTGTTTCAGTTAGAGACCAAACTTTATAATAACTTTAGTATTTGTATGAAAAAGCACGTGCAAACAGTATACACAAGCGCCACGTTTTGGTTTGTAACTTCGCGCAACATTAGTAACCCTTATACCACGGCCTGTTTAAATACTCGATTCTGATTGGCTGGAAGGTGTGCAGTAAAACCGTTTAATGCACAGGTAGTTCCAGTCAGTTTGATTACAGTTCGAAATTAATCCGCTACTATAAACATTGGTAACCATAGTAACAGAGTTACACTTGCAAAAGAGTGAGAGAGACACATATGAAAATGTTCGGTAGGCTCAGAGCCATAGAGAGAAAGAGTTGCGACGCTCTTTGATCGCTCGCGATGCCTGTCACGTGGTTCATGTAAGCCCCAATAGTTACAAAACATACGCAGGCTGTCATGTTCTTCTATGGGACAGACAGCAGCGATTGCATTATTGACCGGTAAATATAAAATAAAACACACACCCAAGTACTTTTTCAGCTGTTACTGCATTTTGTTAATGTCAGTTATGCATTTGGAGAGGCAGGGTGACAACGGAATAGCCTACTACTGTATATTACTTAGATACGTTTTAGGCTTTTTTTTTTTTGAGGTAAAAGACGACAAAGACGAGGTCAATACGAAAAAGACAACTAAATGGGCAGTTAACACTTTCTGTGACTTGTTGCGCCAAAGACAGAACAATTGTGATTTCGAGACCTAACGTTACTCTGCTTCTCTTTTAAATGAGACATTTCGGGAGTTTTATGCCTCTGTTCAGTCTACCGCTGGACGCGAATACAGTGTTGCAAGTTTGATGCGTCTCAGAGCAGGTATAAACCGTCACATTACAAAATACAACATCATAAGGGATAAAGAATTCAAGTCAAGCAATGCCGTTTTTAAATCAGTTTTAAAGCGCTACAGGAAAAATGGAAAAGACACCAGCGTTCATCATCCGCGTAAGAAAAGTTTGGTTTGACATAAAGCTAATTCATTTAAATAAATGACATGATTAGTTCAAATAAAGCTTGCCTTGTCACTGTTGCCTATCATTCATAAATAATTTTAATAAATCCATGAATCATTAAGTTAGCTATAGGCCTATGCTTAAGCAACGAGGGGACTGTAGACTTTAAAGAAGAGACACTCATAGGTAACTCGCGCACGCGCATCTCTCTCTCTCTCTCTCTCTCTCTCTCTCTCTCTCTCTCTCTCTCTCTCTCTCTCTCTCTCTCTCTCTCTCTCTCTCTCTCTCTCTCTCTCTCTCTCTCTCTCTCTCTCTCTCTCTCTCTCTCTCTCTCTCTCTCTCTCTCTCTCTCTCTCTCTCTCTCTCTAATGAATTTAAATAAATGTGATAATTCATTTAAATAAAAGCAATCCGATGGCTCTACTTTATTTAAAGCGGACGGAGTGCTAGAACTAACGAGCCGTAACTTAAGAAAATAACCGTCATTTTTACACGTCTGTTAAAAAAATTACATTGTAAACATCAGTTACAGCTTTAACTTCTTATTAACTTGGCAAATAACCGAGGTATAAGCGGGATAATCCACGGCTAGCCATGCGGTGAGCCTCATACTCCTGACAGGACCAATCACCCGAGTCAGAGGCCGCAGTGGACATGGCGTCATCATCGTCATCCTCGCCTGCAGTGCCAAAAGAGATCAGGTTACAGGCTTCATCAGGGGAGTGAAAGCTGGTCTCAGAATAGGACACAGCGTGTGCCCAATTGATGCACACTCTGGAGCTGCGTCGACGTGCGAACATCAAAGGGGCCCAATGCACGTGGCTGCCTCTGCCTCTCCTTCCGCTTCCTGCTACCACTATAATGTTCAGTCTGTTGCATTATATAAAATGTAATTGTGTGTTATATATAGTAGAGCCTATTCTGTTCAATACAGCAACAAATGTTGCATATTCCTAATAATGAAGACAATTCTTTGCTAACTATACAAGTTGATTTTAGTTTTAGGATTTGCTAAAAAAAAAAAACATAAGATGGTTAGATAATTATTCAATTATTCTCCTTCCGCTACGGGAAGTGGAGGTGAGGAGGCAGCCAGGGCACAGTTCAGGACTGTGGATTGGAAACCCTGGCATGTAGGATCCTGACTGTCAAAAAATATAAAAAATGCATGCATCATGCATGTCGGGGAGCTCGATGGGTCCACCACACACACATGACATTCCTTGATGGACAAGAATTCGGTGCTTGCTTCGTGAAAGAGGAAGAGAAAGATTCTGAGGCAATGGCACTGAGCTATTTAGTGAATGGCTCCGCCCAAAGCTTGCACTCTCAGTCGCCATTGGGCAGTAATTTTAACTGCCGTGATGCAATCAGGCTTCAGTATTCAAGGAAGGAGAGGGATACCCCAATGTTGAGAGACTGACTTGAAAGGGAACTACACGCTCTAATGATGAGCTTGCTTAAATCGACCCAAGTTAATTAAATTAATTGATCGTCACTTAATCGTTAGCATACCTAGTAGCAACCACTCAGAACACCTTAGCAACCAAAGAGAAACATGTTCAAAACACCCAGAACACTTGAGCAACATCATAGCAGCACCCTGGAAAACAATTCAGGTTGATTGGGACACTTTTTTCCTTTTTTTGAGTCATCTCAATGGCAAAATGTTCCCAATCAACCTGAATTCACCCCTACATCTTGTTCAGTAAAATATAATATCCCTTGTTGATAATGTTCAGCCTGTTGCATTATATAAAATGTAATTTTGTGTTATATATAGTATAGCCTATTATGTTCAATACAGTAACAAATGTTGCATATTCCAAATAATGAAGACAATTCTTTGCCAACTATACAAGTTGATTTTAGTTTTAGGATTTGCTTTGAATAATTATCGAATCATCTTATGGGGAGTTTTTTTTATCTAAAAGGTCATGCTGTCATTATTTACTCAACTTTATGTAGTTCCAAACCAATTCTGTGGAGCACAAAAGGAGAATTTTACAGAAGTCTGATTATGCAATTACGTTTCTGAAACCTTCACATACAGTTTACACTTAGGCATATTACTTATTGCTCAGACAAAGCTAGTGTATGATTGGGTATATAGTGCACGAGTTGCAGGTTTTTTTATGGCGTTGTCCATTTTGCAACTTATTACTGTTGTTTTAATAAAACTTATGGCTTGTTTCCACTGAGCGATACCGCCAACAGTTCCCTTACTTGATAGGCGTGGTGTTTGCCGGAAAGAAGCGATCGACGTCATTTTCGAAGAAGAAAGCGACATAGTAAACATCTATGGATGACATACTGCAGATTTTGTTCTTGCTTCTCGGCATGTTTGTCACAAGGAACAAGCGCCGGCATTAGGCGTTTCTCAATACCAAGTAGCCTACGCAAAGTCCGACTCCCGAGGACACGAGTCCAGTAATTCTGCTAATGGAACAGCGCTTTCTTGAAAGCGCCACTCAGCTCGCTCTGCTACTCCGGTTATCTCTGTATGTACATTTTAGGCAACAATAAAACGAAATATGTTATAAAAACACCACTGCTTCTTTTCGATTTCATTTAAATACATTTTAATGATTATAAGCACACAAATATGGTTCAGGCAACGCATATCCTATTGATTATATTCACTGCATGTATGTAGCCTATATTTAAAACAAAACTAAATATAAAACACAACCCTGCCTCTTTTCGTTTAAATTTAAAAATATTAAACATATTCCAGGCAATATGTGCATTGGTACAAATGTTGCAATAAACAACATTACATGGTCTTGTAATAAAATAAAAAAATGACAAAACTCAACCCTATCTCTTTTTGTTAAATTTCAGTTTTATCAATAATAGCCAATAAAAAAGTATAAGTAAAAGGTACAAAAAGCTATACAATAAAGCTTTAATAACATAAAGCAAACAATTCAGTCAAATATACAAATTCAGCGCTCAAATATATGAAACTTCACTTAGCCTTCTGCCAAAACTATTGGCCAGGGAACGAATTATAGATTCACGAGACCAAAGATCGCCTGTTAGGTCTATACAAGACGAATTATATCTCATGTTTAACCACTACAGACAGAGACGTCAGAGTCAGCGGCAAACATCAGAACGACTAGCCGAGGAAAGGCTGTTCCAGGCGGGGTACTTGAGTGCCGGATCGCCCGGTGATTGCTTGGAATGGATCTCAGTCAAATTATCATAAATCTATAAATAAACCACAGATTTGAGCTTTAAAAAACTACATTCTCGCATGAAAAACTCTTAAAACTACATTTCGCGACACAATAACAGTAGTATTATATTTCAACTGAATATAAAAAAATGGCGCTTCTAATGCCCTTGTAGCACGCGCAAGTCAACCAATCAACGTTCTGCAGTGAGTCTAGCTCCACCTTTTAGTACCGTACCACTGTGCTAGGTACCCCAACGGAAGGGTACCCAAAAAGTGGTACGGTACGGTACGGCTTTTTGGTACCATTCACAACTTTTGACAGTGGAAACGCAAATAATTGCGTACCGTACCGTACCGAACCGCTCAGTGGAAACGAGCCATTATACTGTTGTTCTAAGGAAACATGGGGGTTGGAACAAGTAAACATTTGTTTCTGGGTAAACAATTACCATTTTTCTCCCAGCAGACAAATGGAGAAACGTGGAACCAGAACAATCTCCGGCTGCTCTGTAGCTCTCCAGCCGAACACAGAGCTTCCACGCTGACCCAGTCTTTGGGTTCGGCTTCTGTGAGAAGTTCTCCCTCCAACAGCACCACCAGCGGAGATACTGATTCAGCCCTCGTCTTTCCCTGCAGTGAGTGTGGAAAGTAAGCTGCGTCCTGAGTCAAAAACAGAAACATCTTCATACAGTTATGAATCACAGTGGTTGCGGTCTGATTCACTATATCTCTTTTCATAGGGTGTTTTTGAAGGTGAAAAGTCGAAATGCCCACATGAAGACACACCGGCAGCAGGAGGACACACCGTTGTGGCAGTTTCCCAGGGTTTCCGAGCCAGATCATGTGATTGCGACACGTGGTTGCCACGCTACACCACTAAAACAAGCCATAAGCCTTCATTCTTTACCATATGACAGAACCACAGAGGTGAAAACATCCTTAAATGACATGCGCAGTGAGTCAGTGCAGGAAATAGATCACCCTCTGAAGACGCTTCCTGTCCATAGTCCACTGGACTATATTCCAAGTTAGTAGCTTAAGTATAGCTAACTGAATAAGGACATTCTTTGTAGACTATAAAACAGACTACTTTATGTAAATGGTACAACTATATGTATATTAAAACGAATCAAGGCTATGGCATATCTTTCCTTTAATTTTGGTGTAAAAACTTTTTACTTTATATAAAAAAAATATATATAAAAATATTTTTTTATCTGCTTGTATTTTGTATCACTTTTTTTTATTTGTAATTAACCACCAGTTGATTATTAAACACTCACATTCACAACACATGGATGTGTTGTGCAATATTTGCATTGCATATTTTTCCAGTGTAAACTATATAAGTTTAGCTTGTTGATCGATGGGTGATTTTATTCAACCTCTCACCACTACTTTTTTAAAATCGTAGTTCTTCTATATTTCAAGCAAAAATATTCAACATGCTTGTCATATGACCTCATGGCACCTTTTTAATATGCACAATACACAAGCTGCATGTTAAATTACTAGGCCTATGCTATTCTGAACACATACTTTGTCAGCTTGCAATCTATGATATGTAAAAAAAAATATATATATATATATATATAACATATTAAAGATACTATATGGCATAACTGTATGTCCCACATATACAATAATTATGTTACTGCAGACTGAAAATATGGGCTTTTGATACAGCAACACACACTAGTTCAAGGGGTTTCCCCAGGGGACTGCAGGGAAAGTACTGGGGGTTTGTGGAAATGATGAGAGAAAAAAATAAAAAATAATAATAATTGTGTATATATATATATATATATAAGTCAATATTTGAAGTGGATCAAAAAAAGTTGTTCAAAATTCATGTATAACTTTGATGAACGGTTTTGACCCACTTCAAATGATGACTACTGTATACACATAATATTTTATTTAAATAAAAATTATATAAAAAAGATAAGAGACTAGAATAAGAAAATAAGTAAATGAGCAAATAAAAAAATTATTCTAACAGTACAATGCTACAATGAGTTGGAAGAAATTTAATAGAAACTAAATATGTTCTAATTAATATTAAGACATTTATAATATAATATTATAATATAATATTTATGAATTCTCTATAAATACACTTTATAGAGAATTCATAAAACACAGAACTATAGAGACTGAAAATAGATATAAGAAATATAAGAATAAGTTAACCAGTATTATGAGAACTTGTAAGAAAGAATATTACACAAAACTATTAGATAATAATAAAAACAATATTAAAGGTATGTGGAACATTTTAAATAATATTATTAAAAATAATACTAGACAGGCTACTTATCCCTATTACTTCATTGATAATGATAAAAATATCAAGAACATGGAGGATGTGGTTAATGATTTCAATACATTTTTTGCAAACGTGGGACCAAACTTAGCTAAACAAATCCCAGTTCCACAAACATTAGAAAGTAGATATAATAACTTAATAGAAAGAAATCCCAGTTCAATATTTCTGACAGCAGTTGATGAAAAAGAAATAATAGATACTGTCAAAGGATGCAAAAACAAACCATCCACCGATCATGATGGAATAGATATAAAAATTATACAAAAAGTAATAGAGGGGATCGCCAAACCACTAACGACTATCTGCAATTCATCATTTTTAACTGGTCAATTTCCAACAAAAATGATAATAGCAAAAGTCATTCCTCTATACAAAACTGGAAATAAACACCACTTCATAAATTACAGGCCTGTCTCTCTACTGCCACAATTTTTAAAAATTTTAGAAAAACTATTTAACAACAGATTAGAGATATTCATTGATAAAAATAAACTACTCACTGACAGCCAATATGGATTTAGAAAAAATAGATAAACATCACTAGCACTAACAGAACTCACTGAAGAAATCACAAATTCCACAGACAAAAAGAAATATGGAGTTGGGGTATTCATTGATCTAAAAAAAAGCATTTGACACAATAAATCATGAAATATTAATCGGTAAACTGGAACGAACTGGGATCAGGGCTAAGGGTAGTTCTAAAATGGGTAAGTAGTTATCTGAGAGACAGACAACAATTTGTAAAGATGGGAGATTATTCGTCTGAATGTCTGGGTATGACTTGTGGTGTCCCCCAGGGGTCAGTGTTGGGACCAAAGTTGTTTTTCTGAAGAATTGAATTTTTTATTATTTGCAGATGATACAAACATATTTGGTTCAGGGGACAGCTTACAGCAACTCTTGGAATTAATCACTTCAGAATTCAAGAAAATAAAACAATGGTTTGACACAAATAGGTTATCAATAAATTTGAGTAAAACTACATTCATGGTATTCGGAAACTGTAAGCTAAATCATCAAGCACAGATACAGATAGAGGGTGTTCACATAGAAAGAGTACATGAAAATAAATTCCTTGGAGTGATCATAGATAAAAAAAAAAAGATTTGCTGGAAGCCTCACATAAAATACATCAAAACCAAACTTTCCAAAAGTATTGCAGTCCTAGCAAGAGCTAAGCACATACTGGTCTGGAACATAAATCACTTCGTATTTTGTACTGTTCACTATTGTTACCTTATTTGAATTATTGTGTAGAGGTTTGGGGAAGCACTTATCTACATTCACTACACCAACAAGTTATAATGTAAAAAAGAGCTATGAGAATCATTCACAACGTCGGATTTCGGGATCACACAAATTCATTATTTTTGCAGTCTAAATTGCTAAAAATTCAAGATTTAATAGAATACCAGATTGCAGTATTCATGTTCAAAGCAAGAAATAGCTTATTGCCTGGGAATATACAAAATATGTTTTCTGAGAGGGAGGGAGGGATGGTATAATTTAAGAGGAAGGGGACATTTTAAGAATAATAGAGAACAACAAGGAAAAGATTATGTTTAACATAATCAATAAGTTAAATTGTGGAATAATCTAAATGAGAAACTAAAACAATGCCCAAACATATTTCTATTTAAAAAATAATGTACAAAGAAATTATTTTAAAGAGGTATCAATAAGCACTGTAGTGAAAGTAGGAGTGCTCCATTGTTTGTGTTATTTTTTCCTTGTTTTGTTATTTTTTGCTGCTTGAAAAAGTACATAATTGAGGTTAGACAAATAAATACTCGTCAGTAGTCACTATATGTATGTGTGAATGGGTATGTGTATGTATATGTATATTTGTGTGTATGTGTGTGTGTATATATGTATGTATATATGTGTATGTGTGTATGTATATATGTGCATATATATGTATGTGTATGTATATATATATAAATATATGTGTATAATATATGCATGTGTATAGAGCATAATAATAATAATAATATAAAAAATGGAAATTGAATGACCGTAAGAATTAAGGGGGTAGGAGTATATAAGTTTTACTTCTTCCTACTCCTTTTCGTACATGTAATAGAAGTATGTTAACAGGAAAGAAGTGTACTTTGTTTGCTGCTCATTTGTTGTTTTTTTCTCCTATGTTTTTAAACATTGCTTTATATTTTTATATACTTTTTTTTTATGTTCGAAATAAAGATTTCAAATTCAAATTCAAATTCAATATTATTTTTTCATAAAATAAATTGGCCTTTTCCACAAGAAACTAAACAGATGCATGTAAACGTTTGAGGAGTTAAGGATGAGCATCCCTTGAACAAGAATGATAATATGTTATGGGTCCGTGGCAAAATTGAAAACCCTTTCACCATTGATTCACCTGTCCTGCACAAAAACATAATTTGTCAGAAGTGGGATTCGAACCCACGCCTCCAGAGGAGACTGCGACCTGAACGCAGCGCCTTAGACCGCTCGGCCATCCTGACATGCTAACATGCTAACCACATGCTAATATTAGTAGTCAACAATTTGCAAGTACGTTTGGTGTGAATACATAGTTTGCTATTTTAACTGTCGAGGTTTAGTTCTAATTAAATTACGTAATGACTCGTAAATAATTGTCCAGCCCGCTTCTAAAGTAGCAACAGAAGTCTTAGTTACGTGCCGTGGTCTGTAAAATTATTTACGTTACGCCTGAAAAATGACGGTGGGAAACTGGGGGTTCAGTTCCCACTTCAGACAAACACAATGTTTTGTGCAGGTGAATCAATGTACGGTATGCATGCGAATAGTAATGCAGGTAGTAGGGAGCGCGGGGCTAGTTGTAACACTCTTGTTTTAAATACTTCCCCTTCCACACATGCCAGCATGACGAAACTTGGTGTATTTACTAGTTGCCATTTCAACACTATATAGAGACAAAATTGCGCCAACATTCAGAAATCTTTGTAAGATATCACTGAACATTTATTTAACCATAACAAAAGTACATTTCTTACTTAAGTTAATTTTTCATCTCTATTTTTTGTGTTTATTTAAAATTAGACAAATGTGATATTATTTTAATCTCCAATCTGTTGTTTAACAGTCGATGTTGTTCTTTAATGCTTCACTAACTAGCAGAAAACACTAGCCGGGTTTAAACCCCAGTTGTGCAGATGGGGCATGTTGTAAAACTGTGTTACAATGTGCCCCTATTAGAAATTTGCTATTATAGTCTATACTTTTATGAATTCTATTGAGAAAACATGAGAAACATGTAAATAAAGACTGAGAGTCAATGTTCAGAAATTATTAATTATTATTTTGTTTTGAACTATGCTGTAAATCGGTGTTTTCCGGTGTGTTTGTTGTCAAACTCAAAAATGTGTTTATTTTTAATTATTAAAAAATGCCATTATTTAATATGAAAAAGTTAATAATTGTATTTTATTAAGAAAATATTTTGGTTTGACTTGTATATTTTTTTTATTAGATTAGAATGTGCCCCTCACATGTTCTCCCTCTAGCCATGGGAGTCTTTGTTACGTGATAACTGTTACTTCTCTAAGCGCTGGTCGAACTGGGCCAATCACAGTCGTTTATGACTATAGCAAAATGTACGTAATTTAATTAATTTAACAGAGATTACTAAGTTGATTTTTTGTTTATATATCAACTACATGTAGTTGCGGTTATTATAGTTAAAGTGTTTAATCTTTCATAAAAATAAATGTTTCCAGTAACTCCGACCTAAATGTGGTTCAATGGAGGATACGGCTTTGTGGCCTTTGAGCGCCCCCTGGAGGAAGAGCTGCATGTAGCACAGACTATAGTGACGTGTGCCACTAATGGTCGAACTCGACAGCTGTCGAGCAGGGTTCAGTTCCAAATATACGACATTATAGTTGCTAAAATAATATATGGATAAATGCATTGGTATTTAGAGAACAGAAGCAGTGTGTGATTATCCGGGTGTCCAGAAGGGAACCGTTTAGTGGACTGATATGGACCACGTCGAGTCAACACTGAACTAAACAAGGTAAGTTACAGAGAAAATTAGCCTACTTCTAATTATTTGCAATCAAAATACTTGATAAATTTACCCTGTACACCAAGAACGTGACATAATATATATGATATACAATGTGCCGTGCAATATTTTTGTGGTTACATTAAAAAAATATTATTTGAACTGTAAAATTGCATTAAAAAATTACAATATTATTTAAAGGTAACTTACAATGGCGGTTAAAAAACTGCATTCATTTTGCAGAAGAACTTTGTTTTGATTGTGTTTCGGTTCTGCAGCGGATGAATATTGTTCTTTCTCATAACTAAACAAACACTAAACATTCACTATTAAGCTAGAAGTTAGCATAATCAGTTTAGATGAAGGATCACAAGCGGACTGGCTGAAGATATTACTAGCTATAACCATTAATAGACACGGTAACCGTTATTTCCTTGAAAATAAATTCCAGCATAGCTACAACAACCATGGTGAAATTAATGACCCATTTAGATAACACAATGAAATTTAGAGCTAACTAAATATGGCAATTTATATGGCAATTTATCTGCTGAATAGCTGAATATACGTAAAATATCTTACTCACCTGCCGAGTAACGTTAAAAACGCCATCTCTGCGTCGCCTTAACAACATTTCAAATCCCTCAGTTCTCACCATCTCCGAAAAACCGAGCCAATGTTGATTCTGGTTTTATTACTAGCTGCCGCGGTCCCGTTTTGCAGCATTCGTGCTCCTCTGTTCGCGTTTTTCTAAAACGGGTGATTCCCCGGAGGTTCAAATATTGCTCGTTGGTTGTGACAATTAACCTGTAGCACTCCCACTGTCCCACACCATACACGCTTGGTCAAAGTAGCAGGGGTTATGGGTCAACAGATCCCCAATCTGTTAAATTGTGACATGCGCCGCGCGTGCACCCAAAACATTTTACCTGGCTTCCCAGCACGAGGCGGCAGATTCGTCGAATGCCATTTTCCACACAAATAATCAAAATGTTTTCCACAATGTTTATAAATGTTAGTATCATTAGCGGACTGTGTTGTTTCCTTGTTCTCATGTATAGTAGGCCTAATCACGCAGTTTAAGGGAGAGTTCAGCGTGTTTTCATGTCTGCCTTGCAAGCCACGCCCACGTTATTTTGAGACGTTTGTTTTAACGGAAACTGATTATGATGCTTTAAATAAATTTGAGCGCATTACATAATTTTTCTTTGTGTATAACGCTAGTGTATAGGCAGTATTTATAGCTATATTTAAATATATAAAAGCTATATTTATGGCCCATTTACGTTTTGAGGTGATACACTTTTATAAAACATTTGCTTTATAGTTATCTTTAACATTTATGAAAATTGAAGAAAAAAAAATTGGATACTGTATTTTCAGAACAATACCAGAGCCTGTTTCATCATTCATATTGAATGCAGGGTCATTACACAGGAGCAAATGGAGAAAACGGCAAGTCATTTAGATTGTATTTAAGATATGCATTTTATACATCTAATCAGTTCTCATGACCTTTGACTTGCTAGGGTCATCCTTTACTTTTTGAGCTACAGGAACTATTTTTATTTTATTGAATATAATATTTTCCAGTTTATGCTATACTATTTGCTATTTTATTCATAGTTATTATATTGCTTCTATATTATACTCATACTCAATTGTATTTTAGGCTACTAAAAGTATAATATAGGATAGGCTAGTAATAATAATAATAATATGCTATAGAATAAAACTGCCACATATTGTATATTGAACTATTACACCTGACCTTATATTACAAATATATTTCATAAGTTTAAACCGGACTCAAGTTCTATAAATATTTTACCGCTGTAACAAATAGGGGTCCAAGCTGTGATATTAATGTCGCCCACTAGATGGAGCCACAGGATACGGAATCTTTTGAAGTCCCCCTGTGGTGAAAATCAAGCTTTTAATGTAGTTTATATGTCTATGTGGTGTTTTTAATATGCTTTAGGACAAACCATGTGCAAATTCATAAGTCAACACCATTGCTGAGTATTTTCTCCTTAAAACTGCAGTGAAAAAAAGACAGTCTCAAAAACGCGGTTTGAAATCGCTGGTGTTTCTGACGTCACAAACTACCTTGCGGTGGCTGGCTTTAGCAACTGCTGTGAAGCAGGGGAGTCTCAAGAGAAGTCAGGTTATCCCGGTATATTTTTCTGTTGATTTGAAAAATCGGGTACATTTAGCAATATAGCGGGTGAATTATGAATGTGATATGTATTATGATGAACTATATGTCGTACTGTGATGTGTCATACGTCGCACTCGCACATGAATATCAGCTCAGAGATCCAATAGGTCAACTTACTGTAGTTAACATGGCATAATTAGCAAGTGGAAATACTGGTTTAATTCAGCCATATGTTTGAACCAGAAACTGATTCAGAAGAAGTAGTGAAAGAGTGAATTATACAGGCTCTTAAGTCGATGTATTAGAATGGTAATGCATTAATGTTCTTTAAGACAAACCATGTGCAAATGTTTGAAATGTTTTTATTTTCATTTTATTCATTTTTATTGCATGTTTCTGTCATTTTCATTTCTATTTAGTTTTTATTCATTTTTATTTCAGTTTTAGTTATTTTAGTACTTCGTTAAACTACACAAAAATGCGAAATCTTGCCTTTGCAAGCAGCTTCATATTTTATTTCAGTTAACATTTATTTTATTTTTATGGTTTTGGTTTTAGATTTAATTATAATAACTGGCCCAAACAGCACTTAAGCAGAAAGATTTGTAAATATGAGACGGTTTTTCTCAATCTTGCAGATAACCATTGCTAACCAATGTTTTAATGTAACTCACACAACAGAGAAAACTATGGCTTCGGCACAACCTCCAAACTTCTCCTGGGTGGATCCTGGTAAGGTGGCAGGACTGGCAATGCCACGAATGACGGCCCACTATCAGTACCTGCTGGACAACGGCATCAAGCACCTGGTGACCCTGTGCGAGCGCAATCCTCCTTACCACGACACCTGTCCAGACCTCACCCTTCATCATATCAAGATTCACGACTTCTGCGCCCCCACATTTGATCAGATCAAGAGATTCTTGTCCATAGTGGAGGAGGCCAATGCGAGAGGACAGGTAAAACATTCTTCATGCACATCTGTGTTCTGCAAATATGTATTAATGTGTTTGTCTACTGGACTTTGGCAGGCTGTTGCGGTGCACTGTTTGCATGGTTTTGGCCGGACGGGGACGATGCTCGCCTGCTACCTGGTGAAGAGCAGGAAAATCAGTGGAATCGACGCCATTAATGAGATAAGAAGCATTCGCCGAGGGTCTATTGAAACCCGAGAGCAGGAACAAATTGTGGTGCAGTTTCATCAACAAAATAAGGTGTAAAATAAGAAAACTTTAAGAAAATGTTTATATTTTTGATGCAGCAATAAAGGATTATTTATTTCCAATGTATGTATTTATTTTTTATCTTGATCAAGGCTGTAGGTTGCTATCACTGAAAAATATGAAAAAGCAGTGCAACTGTAATGAGAGTCACTACGACATCCTGCTATTTCCACTATTAATACATTCCTACAGGATATTTCTATAACATAGTGCCACTATGTGAAAAGCAGTGGTGAATTTAGATCAACTATGCCACCTTTTTAGTAACTGAAATGAAAAAGTGGCCTATCTTATATGAGTTTACCTTATGTGTATACAATTTTAAAACTCGCATGCGGTTCAGGAGGATCTGGAAACAAATCATGAACTATTCAGCCTTGTTCATTTTTTAAGACACCAGATTGTCTGAATGATAGACAAGTAGCCTCCAGAAAAAAAAAAATTCTTAGTGGTTTGCCTTTTCATCAGGACACTTTGACTTTACTTGAAGTGACCATTTCCAAAGAAAACAGCTGCTGACGCTCCTTAAAGCTCAGATTCTCTGGGGCTCGCTGTGTTTTGAAGCTTCTGTGATCCATTTCACTGTAAGAGTATAAAAAACACACCTGATTGCATTGAAATATTACAGGTTCTTGTAAATAACTTTTTGTTTCATTTGTTTCAATTGTTTGTCACAAGGGCTATGTTAGAATAGACATTTTAAAAATGATGATTATTCTTATTTAAATTCAGATTGTTTTGTGAGTTCTGTCCATCATATTAAAAAAAAACAAGTAAACACAATAAAACACATTGACATACACAACCGTCAATATATAATAAAGATAGAACTGAACTGGGATCTCAGAATACATGTTCATACATGTTTCATACATGTCAGATTAAGACAAAACAAATTACTGGGCTGAAGTAACTTGATTATACATAGTTTACACATACATCAGTTTTCAAAAAATCATGTTAAAATGAATCAAATATGATTCATCAGGCTTTTGAAAAACATTTATTTGTTCGTCTCTCAATCATTGTATTGCACTGCATTATGTTTTAAAACTACAGAGTTTTGATCATAAAACTAAGCATTTAAATATCATCTTACTAAGACATATTATTGGCAGATATAAAGTGACAAACTGATATTTATATGCATTTTATGCAAGTAGTCTATTATACCGTTATAAAGATCTCATTGATTGTCACGGTTTTGGTTCATGTTCATGTCATAGTCATGTTTCCGTGTCTTGTCATGTGATCCTGCCATGTGTCTTGTCATTGGTTAATTGTCTGATCATTGTTCACAGGTGTCCCTTGTCTTGTAATTAGTCTGTGTATTTAAGCCCTCAAACAGTTTGCCATGTGTCTTTGTAAAGTGTTGTTCCACTGTACGGTAAGCTTTGTCCACGTTTATGTTTTGCTCTAAGGTCATGCCACGCCATGTTTTTGATTCATGTTTGATCTTATGTTTTTGATTCATGTTTGATCTTATGTTTATAAATAAACTGCACTTGGGTTCTCTCTACAACTTGCCTCCAGTGGATCCGTTACATTGATTTATGATTGCATATTTTTGCTCTGAGTAAAATGATTTTTTTCCCCTCAAGTATGAGTTCCATATTCTCACTATAAAACTATGAGCCATAAAAGCCTGATGTATCAAATATGATACTCAACAAAAACATAGGCTATACAAACTTTTTTTAAAACTCATTTCCTGCCAGGATTTTTGCTAGCCACCGCCAGTTTTTAAATTAACTTTTATGGCCCCCAGAATATTCTGTTCATTCATCCTCTTCTTTTTAATAAACAATTGAATGTGGTTAAGTTTAATAATAAAAAAAGCAAAATTTTGAACAGAATGTTTTTTTTTTTTTTTCAAAGACTACAACGTGCATATAAGCTTCTATGGCCCTGTACCAAATGGCACCTTAAACCCTCATTCACTATTCCCTTCGTTAGTCCACTAATACTGTTCATTTGAAGGAGTGAATTAAAACGCGTGAGCGAATTTCGGACAGCTGTTGAGTGTACATCAGTTGTACACTCGACAGGGCAGTACAATGTGGGATTTAATAAGTGCACTCAATGTCAACTATGGTTTCAGACACCACTACAAATAGCTGTCCCTTCAAAAAGTGCTCAAATAGTGGATATAGGGGGCGATTTCAGCCCTGATTTCTGGTGTTTTGATCCAGAGATTCTCTACTCTTTCGGAAGATTTGTAATAGCGCCCCCTACCGTATAACGCTGAAAACACAGATTGCTGGAAAATTAGAGTTAAATATTTTGTCAAAAAGGTTAAATAAACTGTTCCACTTCAAACTATTAGATTTTTTGTACTATTATTTAATATTTCAGGGTTTACGGGGTTAAACTGAACTCAACAGTCATTAAATTACCATTAAAATAAACATAGTCTGAGAAATATTGACTAAAGTTGTAAAGTTTTGTTTTTATGCTGCTGATTGTACTTGATTTGGTCTGCAGGTGCAGTTGTGAAGTGCTTTATAAATAAAATAAAGTAAGTAAAGTAAACAACAAAAATGACACTCTCCCTTGTTTTGGAGAGTTAAAAAGCAGAATTGCTGTGAGGAATTTAGAGTTGAGACTCACCTAGAAGAGAACTTCATTTCATATCCCATAGATTCATGTTTGATTCCATCTGCAATTCCAGAAATCAATGTCAGACAAATGTATCAAGTCTAAACCAATATTAATCAGTGACTGATTTTGAAATACTGTCCAATACCTTTCAAACTGTCCTCTTGAGAAAAGTGGCCTTCCTTTTGCTGGTCAGCCCCAGTTTCATTCTTCTCACAGTTACTCTAGGATGACATTAATAAAATGTGTTTTAGTGTTTAAGTGTCTCTCGGTATGTGGTGTGTTATTTGTAATACCTCTGTTTCATGATATGTGTTTTATATTGCTGGTGTGGTCAAAGAGAAATTTTAAAATTGGTTGACAATTAAGTGGTTTTGTTATTGTGATGTTTCAGTGTACACATGTAAAACTCACCACTACATCCCTTCCTGTCTGAAACGTCTTCCGTTCTTCCCCGGAATGGCTCTCATCATCCTCATCCTCATCTTCATCCCCGTTGTGCTGGTACTCCTCTAGTCTCCTCTGGAACCGCAGCTCTAGAGAGAGTCTGCGCAGACGTTCACTCTCCTCCAGGGTGCGCCACACTTTGGCCTGCAGCTGCTGCACTTCCTGTCCCAGCAGGTCTGTAGTAGCGAGTTTACTAGTCTTCTCGACCACTTTCTGTTCAAGATTAGCACTTAAACGTTCTGAGGCTGTGTTATTCTGGGATGTCTTCACAGATGAGTGGAAGACAACGTTTTTTTTCTTGAGGACCTGCTGTGGTCTTTGAGATGGTGATGCATTGCTCTGATGTTGGTGTTGATACTGATGGTGTGCTGGAGACATAATTTGGGTTTCCGCAGGCTGACGGAATGTGCTAAATGAAAGACTGCTGGCTTGTGGCGAGTAGGGGACGTCCATTCGTTTCGGCTGCGATAGAGGGACGGACTGGGTGGTTGTCGGGATCTTCCAGAGTCCATTTTTGTGTCCCATGCTGGACAAGCTGGAATCCATTGGGCTTATGGTTGTAAGGCTGTTCCATTTGCTCAGTTCTTGCTGTTTCTTCAAGTATCTTGATCTGTTCACAAGAGGGCGTCCTTTTTCTACACTCCAAAGATTGTCTTGAGAATGTGCCTGTTTCTGTGAGAATCAACAGTTATTCTTTGTGAATGTGGGTGCAATAGAATTTGAATTTGTATATATATATATATATAGAGAGAGAGAGAGAGAGAAACTTTTTCAGTTATAGTCAATTATAATATAAAGTTACTTACTTACACTCACCTAAAGGATTATTAGGAACACCTGTTCAATTTCTCATTAATGCAATTATCTAATCAACCAATCACATGGCAGTTGCTTCAATGCATTTAGGGGTGTGGTCCTGGTCAAGACAATCTCCTGAACTCCAAACTGAATGTCAGAATGGGAAAGAAAGGTGATTTAAGCAATTTTGAGCGTGGCATGGTTGTTGGTGCCAGACGGGCCCGCCTGAGATCAGAGGAGAATGGGCTGACTGATTCAAGCTGATAGTTTTCTTTGACTATATAACCACTCGTTACAACCGAGGTATGCAGCAAAGCATTTGTGAAGCCACAACACGCCCAACCTTGAGGCGGATGGGCTACAACAGCAGAAGACCCCACCGGGTACCACTCATCTCCACTACAAATAGGAAAAAGAGGCTTCAATTTGCAAGAGCTCACCAAAATTGGACAGTTGAAGACTGGAAAAATGTTGCCTGGTCTGATGAGTCTCGATTTCTGTTGAGACATTCAGATGGTAGAGTCAGAATTTGGCGTAAACAGAATGAGAACATGGATCCATCATGCCTTGTTACCACTGTGCAGGCTGGTGGTGGTGGTGGTGTAATGGTGTGGAAGATGTTTTCTTGGCACACTTTAGGCCCCTTAGTGCCAATTGGGCATCGTTTAAATGCCACGGCCTACCTGAGCATTGTTTCTGACCATGTCCATCCCTTTATGGCCACCATGTACCCATCCTCTGATGGCTACTTCCAGCAAGATAATGCACCATGTCACAAAGCTCAAATCATTTTAAATTGGTTTCTTGAACATGACAATGAGTTCACTGTACTAAAATGGCCCCCACAGTCACCAGATCTCAACCCAATAGAGCATATTTGGGATGTGGTGGAACGGGAGCTTCGTGCCCTGGATGTGCATCCCACAAATCTCCATCAACTGCAGATGCTATCCTATCAATATGGGCCAACATTTCTAAAGAATGCTTTCAGCACCTTGTTGAATCAATGCCACGTAGAATTAAGGCAGTTATGAAGGCGAAAAGGGGGTCAAACACAGTTTTAGTATGGTGTTCCTAATAATCCTTTAGGTGAGTGTATATTTGTAAGGGCCAAATGTCCTCACTTTTATATAGTGAAATATTATGACAACTGACTAGTAAAGACATTTTACTGGTTCTTACTAGTTAAAAAGGCTTAAAAATCGGCCAAAACACAATAAATAGATTTATTTAAATCCAGTGTTTTGCACATGTTTCTGTGATGGGTAGGTTTAGGTTTAGAGGCAGGGGTTTGGGTTAGGCCATAGAAAATATAATTAAACTGATATAGAAATCAATGGAAGTCTATGCCATGTTCTCACTAATATAGTGAAACAAACGTGTGTGTGTGTGTGTGTGTGTGTGTTTGTGTGTGTGTTATCAGTTATTTTGCTTCTGATGAAAAGATTATGGAAGCACAAATATCAAACATGGCAATAAAAGTGCAACACACAAATACCATAATGCTGATCTTTTGCAGATCCCTGGAGAATGCAGAAATTTGCTGAGGTTTTTCTCTGGTTCCGGGTACTTTATTGCTGTGCAGTTTGGATGCTGGCAGGGTCAGATATTCTCTGTGATAAGTGTCTGTGTTTAAAAGAGTGTTTCTGGGTTTCACCTGGGGTGAGATATAGAAATATATGAGATAAGATAGTGAGGTCAAAAGAGCAAAAACAACAAAAACATGTATCTGTACCAGGGTTATCATTAACTATTACTGAAACTCACACCAATACCATACAAATATTATTTGAAATAAAATAAACATATACATACATACATATACATATATAAGGATGCCGCCGCCTGAATACATATATATAATATATGTATATATAAAATCCAAAATAATAATAAAAAAACTATAATAGTATAGGCTATCAAATAGTAGATCAATGGTACTCACAGAATCCATTAAATTGTCAGTGGATAAAGATAGCATTATCTTTTCATGGAGAACTGGATCAACAGCCGTATCTGACGGAAACAGAAATAGAGATTAACAACCCCAAAACAAACAAAAAATGATGTGCAAATATAAACACTCACATGTCAGGTTGGGATTTGAACGATACTCCAGTTTCTTCTTGAGCAATTTCTGGTTTTGTTTTGTGTTTGCTCTGCTGATTGAGTGCTGGTTTCTAAAGGTTACTGGTGGTCTTGATGGACCAGAATCTGATGGTTCGGCACTGTCACAGAGATCAGAGGCACTGGACTTCTGCTTTGACTGTCCACCATTATCATGATCTAACAAACATGAAACAAAAGCATGCATATATTCAAAAGCCATAGATTATATATTGGCTGTACAAACATTGCTCTCACATGACTGATTTTTAATTGAATGAAGTGTTTCAAATGGTTCATGCATAATCATAGTAGTTAAATGTGCATAATATTTACTACCTTTAGATGATGTTTGTGGCGGCTGGGTAAATACTCCCTCAAAACCGTAATATGCAGCTGCTGACTTGAGAGTTTCCAGCGTTACAACTGATCCAGTGTGCATTATTATCTCTGCAGCCCTGAAAAGGATCATTATTAAACCAGTTTTCACTAACAAAAGTGCATTAGTTCTTGTCATGCCTTGTCATACACACATAAGAGTCTTAAATAACACTAAATAATTAAGTAATATTCTGATTATTTCACCTTTCCTGTGACACTCCCATGAGACTTTTGCCATCCACACTCAGTAACTGATCTCCTGGATTCAGTCTTCCATCCTTCATCAAAACTCAATAGTAAATAATATGATGCAAATAGGCACATTTATGGCTCATGCTTTTGATTTTTGCACAACGATACTGACCACATTTGCTGCTCCTCCCTGGACGACAGATTTGATAAAAATGCCAAGCTTCTCCTGTCCAGCCCCCTGTAGGATATATATAAATGTTATACAGAACACAAATGAAGATATTTTGATGAAATCTGAGAGCTTTCTGTTCCTCATAGACAGCTACGCAACTACCACTTTGACTCTTAACGTTCATAAAGAGATTGTAAAACGAATCCATATTATTAATTGAGCGGTTTAGTCCAAATTTTCTGAAGAGACTTGATCGCTTTATACGATGAACAGATAGAATTTTAGGATTTTATTCACATATAAGCATTCATCAACACACATCAGTTGTAATAAATGGAAGCTCAAACATGTTCGCTTGACGTGCAAGAACCAATGAGGTTAATTCTCGTGTTAAGCACGTTTGAGCTTCAGCAAGAACCAATGAGGTTCATTCTCGTGTTACGAAGCACGTTTGAGCTTCAGCAAGAACCAATGAGGTTCATTCTCGTGTTACGAAGCACGTTTGAACTTCAGCAAGAACCAATGAGGTTCATTCTCGTGTTACGAAGCACGTTTGAGCTTCTGCAAGAACCAATGAGCTTCATTCTCGTGTTATGCAGCACGTTTGAGCTTCAGCAAGAACCAATGAGGTTCATTATCATGTTACGAAGCATGTTTGAGCTTCAGCAAGAACCAATGAGGTTCATTCTCGTGTTACGAAGCACGTTTAAGCTTCAGCAAGAACCGATGAGGTTCATTCTCGTGTTACGAAGCACGTTTGAGCTTCTGCAAGAACCAATGAGGTTCATTCTCGTGTTACAAAGCACGTTTGAGCTTCAGCAAGGACCGATGAGGTTCATTCTCGTGTTACGAAGCACGTTTGAGCTTCTGCAAGAACCAATGAGGTTCATTCTCGTGTTACGCAGCACGTTTGAGCTTCAGCAAGAACCAATGAGGTTCATTCTCGTGTTTCGAAGCACGTTTGAACTTCAGCAAGAACCAATGAGGTTCATTCTCGTGTTACGAAGCACGTTTGAGCTTCAGCAAGAACCAATGAGGTTTGTTCTCGTGTTATGCAGCACGTTTGAACTTCAGCAAGAACCAATGAGGTTCATTCTCGTGTTACGAAGCACGTTTGAGCTTCAGCAAGAACCAATGAGGTTCATTCTTGTGTTACGAAGCACGTTTGAACTTCAGCAAGAACCAATGAGGTTCATTCTCGTGTTACGCAGCACGTTTGAACTTCAGCAAGAACCAATGAGGTTCATTCTCGTGTTACGAAGCACGTTTGAACTTCAGCAAGAACCAATGAGGTTCATTCTCGTGTTACGAAGCACGTTTGAGCTTTTGCAAGAACCAATGAGCTTCATTCTCGTGTTACGCAGCATGTTTGAGCTTCAGCAAGAACCAATGAGGTTCATTATCATGTTACGAAGCATGTTTGAGCTTCAGCAAGAACCAATGAGATTCATTCTCGTGTTACGAAGCATGTTTGAGCTTCAGCAAGAACCAATAAGGTTCATTCTCGTGTTACGCAGCACGTTTGAACTTCAGCAAGAACCAATGAGGTTCATTCTCGTGTTACGAAGCACGTTTGAGCTTCTGCAAGAACCAATGAGGTTCATTCTCGTGTTACGAAGCACGTTTGAACTTCAGCAAGAACCAATGAGGTTCATTCTCGTGTTACGCAGCACGTTTGAGCTTCTGCATGAACCAATGAGCTTCATTCTCGTTTTACGCAGCACGTTTGAGCTTCAGCAAGAACCAATGAGCTTCATTCTCGTGTTACGCAGCACGTTTGAGCTTCAGCAAGAACCAATGAGGTTCATTATCATGTTACGAAGCATGTTTGAGCTTCAGCAAGAACCAATGAGGTTCATTCTGGTGTTATGCAGCACGTTTGAACTTCAGCAAGAACCAATGAGGTTCATTCTCGTGTTACGCAGCACGTTTGAGCTTCAGTAAGAACCAATGAGGTTCATTCTCGTGTTACGAAGCACGTTTGAACTTCAGCAAGAACCAATGAGGTTCATTCTCGTGTTACAAAGCATGTTTGAGCTTCAGCAAGAACCAATGAGGTTCATTATCATGTTACGAACCATGTTTGAGCTTCAGAAAGAACCAATGAGGTTCATTCTCGTGTTACGCAGCACGTTTGAACTTCAGCAAGAACCAATGAGGTTCATTCTCGTGTTACGAAGCACGTTTGAGCTTCTGCAAGAACCAATGAGCTTCATTCTCGTGTTACGCAGCATGTTTGAGCCTCAGCAAGAACCAATGAGGTTCATTATCATGTTACGAAGCATGTTTGAATTTCAGCAAGAACCAATGAGATTCATTCTCGTGTTACGAAGCATGTTTGAACTTCAGCAAGAACCAATAAGGTTCATTCTCGTGTTACGCAGCACGTTTGAACTTCAGCAAGAACCAATGAGGTTCATTCTCGTGTTACGAAGCACGTTTGAGCTTCTGCAAGAACCAATGAGGTTCATTCTCGTGTTACGAAGCACGTTTGAACTTCAGCAAGAACCAATGAGGTTCATTCTCGTGTTACGCAGCACGTTTGAGCTTCTGCATGAACCAATGAGCTTCATTCTCGTTTTACGCAGCACGTTTGAGCTTCAGCAAGAACCAATGAGCTTCATTCTCGTGTTACGCAGCATGTTTGAGCTTCAGCAAGAACCAATGAGGTTCATTATCATGTTACGAAGCATGTTTGAGCTTCAGCAAGAACCAATGAGGTTCATTCTGGTGTTATGCAGCACGTTTGAACTTCAGCAAGAACCAATGAGGTTCATTCTCGTGTTACGCAGCACGTTTGAGCTTCAGTAAGAACCAATGAGGTTCATTCTCGTGTTACGAAGCACGTTTGAACTTCAGCAAGAACCAATGAGGTTCATTCTCGTGTTACAAAGCACGTTTGAGCTTCAGCAAGAACCAATGAGGTTCATTATCATGTTACGAAGCATGTTTGAGCTTCAGAAAGAACCAATGAGGTTCATTCTCGTGTTACGCAGCACGTTTGAGCTTCAGCAAGAACCAATGAGGTTCATTCTCGTGTTACGAAGCACGTTTGAGCTTCAACAAGAACCAATGAGGTTCAATCTCATATTACGAAGCACGTTTGAGCTTCAGCAAGAACCAATGAGGTTCATTCTCGTGTGACGCAGCACGTTTGAGCTTCAGTAAGAACCAATGAGGTTTATTCTCATGTTACGAAGCACGTTTGAGCTTCAGCAAGAACCAATGAGGTTCATTCTCGTGTTACGAAGCACGTTTGAGCTTCAGCAAGAACCAATGAGGTTCAATCTCATGTTACGAAGCACGTTTGAGCTTCAGCAAGAACCAATGAGGTTCAATCTCATGTTATGCAGCACGTTTGAGCTTCAGCAAGAACCAATGAGGTTTATTCTTGTGTTACGCAGCACGTTTGAGCTTCAGCAAAAACCAATGAGGTTCAATCTCTTGTTACGAAGCACATTTGAGTTTCAGCAAGAACCAATGAGGTTCATTCTTGTGTTACGAAGCACGTTTGAGCTTCAGCAAGTACCAATGAGGTTCATTCTCGTGTTACGAAGCACGTTTGAACTTCAGCAAGAACCAATGAGGTTCATTCTCGTGTTACGAAGCACGTTTGAGCTTCTGCAAGAACCAATGAGCTTCATTCTCGTGTTACGCAGCATGTTTGAGCTTCAGCAAGAACCAATGAGGTTCATTATCATGTTACGAAGCATGTTTGAGCTTCAGAAAGAACCAATGAGGTTCATTCTCGTGTTACGCAGCACGTTTGAGCTTCAGCAAGAACCAATGAGGTTCATTCTCGTGTTACGAAGCACGTTTGAGCTTCAACAAGAACCAATGAGGTTCAATCTCATATTACGAAGCACGTTTGAGCTTCAGCAAGAACCAATGAGGTTCATTCTCGTGTGACGCAGCACGTTTGAGCTTCAGTAAGAACCAATGAGGTTTATTCTCATGTTACGAAGCACGTTTGAGCTTCAGCAAGAACCAATGAGGTTCATTCTCGTGTTACGAAGCACGTTTGAGCTTCAGCAAGAACCAATGAGGTTCAATCTCATGTTACGAAGCACGTTTGAGCTTCAGCAAGAACCAATGAGGTTCAATCTCATGTTATGCAGCACGTTTGAGCTTCAGCAAGAACCAATGAGGTTTATTCTTGTGTTACGCAGCACGTTTGAGCTTCAGCAAAAACCAATGAGGTTCAATCTCTTGTTACGAAGCACATTTGAGTTTCAGCAAGAACCAATGAGGTTCATTCTTGTGTTACGAAGCACGTTTGAGCTTCAGCAAGTACCAATGAGGTTCATTCTCGTGTTACGAAGCACGTTTGAACTTCAGCAAGAACCAATGAGGTTCATTCTCGTGTTACGAAGCACGTTTGAGCTTCTGCAAGAACCAATGAGCTTCATTCTCGTGTTACGCAGCATGTTTGAGCTTCAGCAAGAACCAATGAGGTTCATTATCATGTTACGAAGCATGTTTGAGCTTCAGCAAGAACCAATGAGATTCATTCTCGTGTTACGAAGCATGTTTGAACTTTAGCAAGAACCAATAAGGTTCATTCTCGTGTTACGCAGCACGTTTGAACTTCAGCAAGAACCAATGAGGTTCATTCTCGTGTTACGAAGCACGTTTGAGCTTCTGCATGAACCAATGAGCTTCATTCTCGTTTTACGCAGCACGTTTGAGCTTCAGCAAGAACCAATGAGCTTCATTCTCGTGTTACGCAGCATGTTTGAGCTTCAGCAAGAACCAATGAGGTTCATTATCATGTTACGAAGCATGTTTGAGCTTCAGCAAGAACCAATGAGGTTCATTCTGGTGTTATGCAGCACGTTTGAACTTCAGCAAGAACCAATGAGGTTCATTCTCGTGTTACGCAGCACGTTTGAGCTTCAGTAAGAACCAATGAGGTTCATTCTCGTGTTACGAAGCACGTTTGAACTTCAGCAAGAACCAATGAGGTTCATTCTCGTGTTACAAAGCACGTTTGAGCTTCAGCAAGAACCAATGAGGTTCATTATCATGCTACGAAGCATGTTTGAGCTTCAGAAAGAACCAATGAGGTTCATTCTCGTGTTACGCAGCACGTTTGAGCTTCAGCAAGAACCAATGAGGTTCATTCTCGTGTTACGAAGCACGTTTGAGCTTCAACAAGAACCAATGAGGTTCAATCTCATGTTACGAAGCACGTTTGAGCTTCAGCAAGAACCAATGAGGTTCATTCTCGTGTGACGCAGCACGTTTGAGCTTCAGTAAGAACCAATGAGGTTTATTCTCATGTTACGAAGCAAGTTTGAGCTTCAGCAAGAACCAATGAGGTTCATTCTCGTGTTACGAAGGACGTTTGAGCTTCAGCAAGAACCAATGAGGTTCAATCTCATGTTACGAAGCACGTTTGAGCTTCAGCAAGAACCAATGAGGTTCAATCTCATGTTACGAAGCACGTTTGAGCTTCAGCAAGAACCAATGAGGTTCAATCTCATGTTATGCAGCACATTTGAGCTTCAGCAAGAACCAATGAGGTTCATTCTCGTGTTACGCAGCACGTTTGAGCTTCAGCAAAAACCAATGAGGTTCAATCTCTTGTTACGAAGCACATTTGAAATTCAGCAAGAACCAATGAGGTTCATTCTTGTGTTACGAAGCACGTTTGAGCTTCAGCAAGTACCAATGAGGTTCATTCTCGTGTTACGAAGCACGTTTGAGCTTCTGCAAGAACCAATGAGGTTCAATCTCGTGTTACGCAGCACGTTTGAACTTCAGCAAGAACCAATGAGGTTCATTCTCGTGTTACGCATCACGTTTGAGCTTCAGTAAGAACCAATGAGGTTCATTCTCGTGTTACGCAGCACGTTTGAGCTTCAGTAAGAACCAATGAGGTTCATTCTTGTGTTACGAAGCACGTTTGAGCTTCAGCAAGAACCAATGAGGTTCAATCTCATGTTACGAAGCACGTTTGAGCTTCAGCAAGAACCAATGAGGTTCCATCTCATGTTATGCAGCACGTTTGAGCTTCAGTAAGAACCAATGAGGTTTTTTCTCGTGTTACGAAGCACGTTTGAGCTTCAGCAAGTACCAATGAGGTTCATTCTCGTGTTACGCAGCACGTTTGAGCTTCAGTAAGAACCAATGAGGTTCATTCTTGTGTTACGAAGCACGTTTGAGCTTCAGCAAGAACCAATGAGGTTCAATCTCATGTTACGAAGCACGTTTGAGCTTCAGCAAGAACCAATGAGGTTCAATCTCATGTTCCGAAGCACGTTTGAGCTTCAGCAAGAACCAATGAGGTTCATTCCCGTGTTACAAAGCACGTTTGAGCTTCAGCAAGAACCAATGAGGTTCATTCTCGTGTGACGCAGCACGTTTGAGCTTCAGCAAGAACCAATGAGGTTCATTCTCGTGTGACGCAGCACGTTTGAGCTTCAGTAAGAACCAATGAGGTTCATTCTCGTGTTACGAAGCACGTTTGAGCTTCAGCAAGAACCAATGAGGTTCATTCTCGTGTGACGCAGCACGTTTGAGCTTCAGTAAGAACCAATGAGGTTTATTCTCGTGTTACGAAGCACGTTTGAGCTTCAGCAAGAACCAATGAGGTTCATTCTCGTGTTACGAAGCACGTTTGAGCTTCAGCAAGAACCAATGAGGTTCATTCTCGTGTGACGAAGCACGTTTGAGCTTCAGCAAGAACCAATGAGGTTCATTCTCGTGTTACGAAGCACGTTTGAGCTTCAGCAAGAACCAATGAGGTTCAATCTCATGTTACGAAGCACGTTTGAGCTTCAGCAAGAACCAATGAGGTTCAATCTCATGTTACGAAGCACGTTTGAGCTTCAGCAAGAACCAATGAGGTTCAATCTCATGTTATGCAGCACGTTTGAGCTTCAGTAAGAACCAATGAGGTTCATTCTCGTGTTACGCAGCACGTTTGAGCTTCAGCAAGAACCAATGAGGTTCAATCTCATGTTACGAAGCACGTTTGAGCTTCAGCAAGAACCAATGAGGTTCAATCTCATGTTATGCAGCACGTTTGAGCTTCAGTAAGAACCAATGAGGTTCATTCTCGTGTTACGCAGCACGTTTGAGCTTCAGCAAGAACCAATGAGGTTCAATCTCATGTTACGAAGCACGTTTGAGCTTCAGCAAGAACCAATGAGGTTCATTCTCGTGTTACGCAGCACGTTTGAACTTCAGCAAGAACCAATGAGGTTCATTCTCGTGTTACGCAGCACGTTTGAGCTTCAGTAAAAACCAATGAGGTTCATTCTTGTGTTACGAAGCACGTTTGAGCTTCAGCAAGAACCAATGCGGTTCAATCTCATGTTACGAAGCACGTTTGAGCTTCAGCAAGAACCAATGAGGTTCAGTCTCATGTTATGCAGCACGTTTGAGCTTCAGCAAGAACCAATGAGGTTTATTCTCGTGTTACGCAGCACGTTTGAGCTTCAGCAAGAACCAATGAGGTTCATTCTCGTGATGCGAAGCACGTTTGAGCTTCAGCAAGAACCAATGAGGTTCAATCTCGTGTTACGCAGCAGGTTTGAACTTCAGCAAGAACCAATGAGGTTCATTCTCGTGTTACGCATCACGTTTGAGCTTCAGTAAGAACCAATGAGGTTCATTCTTGTGTTACGAAGCACGTTTGAGCTTCAGCAAGAACCAATAAAGTTCAATCTCATGTTACGAAGCACGTTTGAGCTTCAGCAAGAACCAATGAGGTTCAATCTCATGTTATGCAGCACGTTTGAGCTTCAGCAAGAACCAATGAGGTTCAATCTCATGTTATGCAGCACGTTTGAGCTTCAGCAAGAACCAATGAGGTTCAATCTCATGTTACGAAGCACGTTTGAGCTTAAGTAAGAACCAATGAGGTTTATTCTCGTGTTACGAAGCACGTTTGAGCTTCAGCAAGAACCAATGAGGTTCAATCTCATGTTATGCAGCACGTTTGAGCTTCAGTAAGAACCAATGAGGTTTATTCTCGTGTTCATTGTTTTGTTAGTTGACAGCGCATTAACCAATGTTAGACACAACTGTTAACTAATTTAACTAATGTTAACAAATGAAACCTTATTGTAAATTGCTACAAAATGACTATTTATTGACTTTAGTCTTACCTTGGCAGCTACTATGCTCACTCCCATCCCACCATGCAAAGGTTTCTTTAGAGTTATTTTCACTGGATCAGGTTTCTAATATTGACAACATAACATGTATAAAGAATGTTTTTAGAGTTAATGCAAAAAATCTTTAAGTAAGCTTAAACTGAATAACAGTTAAATGCATCAACAGCTCCTCCATAGTCCAGATGTACTTGATGGATAAGGACGAGGTTCATATACCTCATCAATTATTTGCAATTTTTAGGAATTGTTTACTTTAATTTATGTTTTATCTGTAAATGAGCAACATACCCAAGTTGAACACTCTGTGGAACAATCTGACAGGCCAAAGAAAATGGTCCAAGTCCCAACACAGATGGAATGAGAAACTAACTTGCAGAGACCTAGAAAAGTCACAAGTTCATGAGTTTTTGATAACCATTAAAAAATAATTAATATATGTATGTATTTTTAACCATTGTTTTTTTAAAGACTTTTATAGGGATAGTTCACCCAAAAATGTACTCACCCTCATGTAGTTCCTAACCTGTAAGTCTTTCCTTAATCTTTGAAACACAAATTTAAAATATTTTTTATGAAACCTGAAATATTTCTGTCCCTCCGTTAAAAGTCCAGGTAACCAAACCTTGATTGACACACTATCTACCTTATAGACACCTTATAGAATCTAGGTGAATCTTATAGAAACCTTATAGAATCTAGGTATAGAATCCTCACTATCTACCTTATAGACACCTTATAGACACCTTATAGAAACTATCTATAAAGCACAACACATAAGCTCAAACATGCAAACCAGAAAGGTTTGTTCTAGCACGCACGAGTATTTAACATATTTGCCATACAGTATGTGATGCACTCTATGTATCTTTGTTTACATGTGAATAAAAGCCTAAATTAAATCTGTTCATCATATAAAGAGGTTGTGTCTATCTCTTCACAAGACTTGGATTAAACTACTCGATTCATAATTCAATTTATGACATCTTTACGACCTTCTTAGTCTAACAAAACATGAGAGATTTTTGTCCAGGTAACCAAAATTTAGAAGATCTAACTAAAGTCTTATGGGTTTGGATTCGGAACAACATGAGTGTGTGACTAAATGAAGTACATACAAATGTTTATCTTAATGATAAAATAAAAGCTTTACAATGCAATGTATAGTAAGTTCTTATATTATATTACCATAAAATTATGGTAAAACTTTACAATAAGGTCTTATTTGTTAATGCCATAGCTAACATAAAGTAACAATGAATGAGTGATATTCTTGTGGCGTTTATTTTAACATTAGTTAAAAAGACAAATGTTTATTATTTGTTTGGTAGTTGACAGTGGATTATTACCAAAATGAACATACACAACTTTTGCATTTAAAAAAGAAATGATTTGTAAATGTTGAAATTAACATTAACGAAGACTACTAAAACCTCTCGGGTTTCATATCTTAAAAATATCTTAATTTGTGTTTCAAAGATTAACCAAAGTCTTATGGGTTTGGAACTGCATGAATGTGAGTAAATTATGACAAAATCATTTTAATGCTTTAGCAATATTATTGATTTGACTGCACCGACACCATTGGATGAGAAGTAAACTTTAACTGAATTGAGCCGGATGATGACACTCTTTTCTGCAGAGCTGCTTTGAATTGAGTTACAAGTTGAACTGAATCAACACTACTGTAATTATTCAGCTAAGGACAGTTCATTGTCTTTTTTAGAGCTGCTTTATAGCAGAATTGAACTCTGTTTGCATCATTAATCCTTATTTTCCTGTTTATCGCTGTAAAGCTGGTTTGAAACTATCTATAAAGTGCTAAATAAAGGTAGGCTACTTGTCTTGAATAGTACCTTTGCGACAGATGGGCTCTAAAAACTCCTGAAATCCCTTGGGAATGCCACGCATGGAATCACATGAATACCCATCCTCGGGCAGGAGGAAAGGCAGGTGAAGCTCTAGTTCCTCTTCCAGTTGGATTTCTCCTCCCTCTCTTCTCAGAACATCTGTTGTGGTCTCCGCCAAGGCAGCTACGCGCTCTATCAGTGCCTATGAATGACAAACTCTATACGTAGACATCACCTTCCAGTGGGACATCAGAACAATTATGCATAGCTATTTTGATTCTCGTGCGAGTTATCATTTTCCATCACTTACGGGTGGAAAGTGGGGTTGATTTGGGGCGTAGTGATATTTGCTCATCAGTGCTCTTAGCTGCAGGGAGTTTAGCTTGTAACATGTGGACTGAATCATCAGGGAGTCGCGTGTGGAGTAAGAAGTCATGGTCAGGAGCATCGTCGCCTGAGGAGAAGCAGCATTTTTAAGGAAATAACTATCATAACCCGGATGGGTCAGATCTTTTGATGTTGATAAAGATCTAAATAAAGTTAAAAAAAAAAACACTCTTAAAAATAAAGGTTCCAAAAAGGGGGTTTCACAGCCATGCCATTTTAGTTCCCCAAAGAACTTTTCAGCTAACTGTTTTTAATGGGACAGTTCACCCTAAAATGAACATTAAAGGGATAGTTCACCCAAAAATGAAAATTACCCCATGATTTACTCAAGCCATCCTAGTGTATATGACATTCTTCTTTCAGACGAATACAATCGGAGTTTTATAAAACAAAATGTCCTGGCTTTTCCAAGCTTTATAATGGCAGTGAATGTCCCATTTCTGTTTTGAAGTCCATCAAAGTGCATCCATCCGTGATAAAAGTGCTCCACACGGCTCCGGGGCGTCCGGCAGATGGCCTACGCAAGTCGACTTAAGCCAAAAGAGTAACACTTGACGATGTATAGGAGTAGCGTAATCTTTGAAGCCTGTCGCGGTTCAAACAAACAAGGCTGGGCAACAAACTCAAACTCCTCCGACATTTCTCTTTGTTAATTCGTGACCAGTGTTTTGTTTTGCTCTATCCTCTGCGCTTCCGCATTCGTCATTACGTTGTGCGTCAGGTCAAGGGTTACCCTTTCACCGTAAATCGATGCGTACAGCCTGTTGGAAGATAGTGATTATAGTTTATAAAGTTTTAAATATGGATATTTTTCTTACACGAACGCATCGCTTCAGAAGTGCTTTATTAACCCCCTGGAGCCGTGTGGAGCACTTTAATCATGAATAGATGCGCTTTGATGGACTTTGATTCAAAACAGAAAAGGCCATTCACTGCCATTATAAATCTTGGAAGAGCCAGGTCATTTTTTAATATAACTCCGATTGTATTCGTCTGAAAGAAGAATGTTATATACACTGAGGATGGCTCGAGGAAGAGTAAATCATGAGGTGAACTATCCCTTTAAGTAATCTTTTACTCACCCTGGTGTTGTTTTAATGCTGTATGCCCTTCTTTCTTTTATAGACCACAAAAGGAGAATTTAAAAAAAATGTCCCATTCGTGCTCCTCCATATAATGTCAGTGAATAGTGACCAGCATTAAGCTTTTTTAAAAAGATGCAAAAGTATCACAGAATGATCCCTTGAGATACGCGCTGTATATTCCAAGTGTTCTGGGAGTAAACGATAGGGTTTGGTGAAAAACATTGGTGAAATTTTATGTATTATTTAACTAAATTGACCTTGGCCTGTGGTCTGTGTACGGCTGCATGGTGTGCCATTTTGTAAGACTCTATTAGTATCGCAGTTCACTCCGTATCATCCAGAAAATGCACACAAGTTGTGATGTACGGCACATGTCACATGGGATCATTCTGTGATACTTTTGCATTTTTAAAAAAAGCTTGATGCTGGTCGCTATTCACTGCCATTATATGGACATTATATGGAAAAAAAATCCTCTTGTGGTCCATAAATGAAAGAAGGGCATACGGAATTTGAACAACACCAGGATAAGTAATGCATGACTTACATTTAATTTTAGTGTAAACTATCCCTTTAAAAGGACCATTTTTATTTTTAGTGCGAAGAACATTTTAAAAACACCACCCTGCATCATATTTGATAACCAAATATGATGCACCAAATAACCAAAAATGGTTATTTGATGGCATCATTGTGGGGGGAAAAAACATTTGAAAACATTTATTTCTAAGAGTGTATAGATGGGTTTCCATTTCTCAAATTACCCATTATCCTCTGCGGCACGCCGCCATGTTGTGTGTCAAAAGCTGTCAAAAACGTATACTGTCTATGGTCAAAAAGGGGGAAAATTGTATGCGTTTTAAATCCGTGTGTTATTCGTTCAATCACATTTTTGTCCCGCCAAAGTCTTATTTGATTGGTGAGTAATGTAGATGAACTGCTGCGCTTGTGACAGTTTGAAAGAACGAGTTACGAGCAGAAAGAGAGAGCCGGTTGCGCGCGCGCACTCCCTCTCTCGGAGCCAGGCAAAAGTCAGTTTTGAAAAGTGTAAACAAGACTTCACTGTCTCCAAACTAAGCGTTGTCTTGCTCTCACTCCCTCGTGGAAAAGTTAGTCTGGAGCCCTGCATTGACGGTTCACATGCTGTAGCCAGGCGGCTGATATATGCACAGCCCTTATATATCTGGGTAAAAAAACAACAACACGACGCTCCGAACTAATTCAGTGAAGGAGAGAGAGATGGATAGCAGAGGCACGGAGCGTAGAGTGTATAAAGAACCTGGGAAAGGTCCCAAGGATGTTAAACGTTCTTCACAAAACCATAGATGCCAATAAATAACCTTTATTTTCAAGAGTGTACATCATTTTGCGTTTTGTATTTCTCATCATATTTTTTCAGATACGCTACCTGGATTATACGACTGAGATGGCAGTCAACAGCCAGCTCCAGCCCTTGTCTCTCTGCCCAGGCCTCTATGTGTCTCAGACGCTGCCGTAGAGTTTTGCCCCAGTAGTTCGAGCACAGCTTTGATCCCGGTCCAGTGAACCGGTTCAAGATCCAGGCCCCCATGAAGTGAAAAAGTTGAGAAAAGAGCTGGATACTCAGAGCAGGGTTGACCCGACACCTTCGGAGCAAACTCATGGTCTTTATGAGAATGTTCAAGACGCCTTCTAAAAAAAAAAAACATTCAGAACAGAACAAAATCTTTATTTGCTATACCATGTGCAATGTCACTATCTTTAATCCAGATGTTTTATCATCTGAAGCAACTGAGGGTTGTTTTTTGCTCAACTGCACAATGCTAAAAGTTCAGCATCATTTGTGGGCTCTGAACCGGTACTCAGCTAACAGGGAACGAACTCAGAACTTTGGCTAACAAGGAACTCTCAAAGTTATGAACAAACTTCCAGTATGAACAGTTCTTCCAATTCATCATTTATGGAAGGTTTTTCAGACACATTTAAGTTGGATTCAGTCTTAAGTTTTTGAACGTTACTACTTGCTACTTTTTGTAGATGGTTCAGAGAACATTCAAAATTAACGTTCACTTGCAAAATAATAAAATAGAGAAAACATTTTCTCTAACATTCACATAAAAAACATTTAAAACATAAAAAAGAAACTGGGAATAACAAAATAACTGGAAGAATAGCATGAAGGTTAGTGAGCCTCGGCTGCTTTGACTGGAAAATTCAGAAATAACGTTTCATAAATTTAATGGGAACATTAGCAAAACATTCTTAGAACATATTTTTGATAGCTGGGTGGATCCAAACTTGCAACATACAAAATCTGATCCATTTGACTGACATGCAAAGTGATCTACCGAATTGTTTTCACAATTAACGGTGGGTAATTCTGAATAAGATGACACCACAATTATAGATTGATATGGACAAAATGCATTCAAAATATGCCGTCTATGTGAAAGGATGTACAGAAAACACAAAAGAGATTTTGTGAATATTTCAGATGACGCAAACATCAACATACAAAACGGTCAAATATTGCCCTGTTGTTTCATTTCCAAACCTGTTTCTTGTGTATTCTTCAACTGAATAACATGTTGTTAACTAACCACAATACTTTCTGATTGTAAAATGCATTTTCCGTGAAGCTGCTTTTGATACAATATGAATTGTGAAATGCTCTATACGGATAAACTTGAATTAAACTGCATTGGAAAAAAGAGATAAATAAGAATGTAGGCCTACCCATTTCAGTTGCCTGAGCTGTTTCCTTTTTTACATCAGCAAAGAATGCAGGCAAGTGGTTTTCAAGATCAACCTGAAGCCAATGTGACAGGTACCTGAGGAAACATTAACGCTTAATTAAACGGTCAAAATACATCGCCCTCGCTGCAAACGTCACTTTTATCATACCTGAAAGCCTGTTGCACAAGTTGAGCAAGAGTGTTTTGAGCCTGGAGTGTGATGGGACACAGATCTCTGTCCCGTCTGACAAAGTTCAGGAGCTCAGATGCGTTGGCCATCCAGAAGGCAAGAGCCACTGCGATGTTCCTCTGTTTCTAAACGGGAATCACAGACACAATCATGGAAATTATCAGGGAATTTGATCTTGAAGTCATGGAAATGGACATTTTTCAATAATAGATTTTTGAATCTACCTCAATGATGTCTTGAATCAAGCTCACAATCTTGTCAAATATAATGCAGAGTCTCTGTTCAGTCTGTTGTTGAGGTTTATTCTTCTGCCCGGGTTGGCTGGTTAAAAATCGCCCAACCAGATAAAACACATATGCAGGCGAGAGCTTAAAGTGAATCGTGGAGCTGTTGATGTCATTTATCACAGCACGCAAGAAACAATCCTCATCTGAAACAGAAATCAATGACGATACATGCAAATGACTTAAGAGCAGTACAGAGAATTGTGTATTTGTGCAGACTGAGTTATTTTATTGTGCCAGGATAAACAAATGTACCTTTTTCCTTTAAAGAAATGCTGATTGGGAGATTCCATTTCACTTTCAAGTAGACTTGTGTTTCGCTGTAATGAAAAGGGAAAATATACAATTTTTGGGGGATAATGAATGTTGCTTTAACAGGGATATGCTTAAAACAGAGTTTGGAAGGATTTACTGATTTCAGCAAATGGCAAACATAAAAAAAAAAACACACCAAACAGTAAATAGATTTTATAAACACTTATTATGATTTTATATCACCTTGACCTATACCATAAGCATCTTAAGGTGACATTTTAATTATATTGTTAATGTATTGTATTAAGCTTTATTATAGGCACAAACACCTTAATATAGATTTAGCTTTTTAAATTTGCTGGTAATAAGGGTTTTTGAGAATCTTTTTCGTTCACAAAGTGTTTTGTATATATTTTTCTAATATACATTTTTTACTTTTCATTAAATTCACTAGCTTTTCAGGGTTCAACCAACTGATCACATTAAAGTAACATAAAAGTTGTGACATTTCCATTGGTGTCTACAAAACCTTTGCTATAATATGGATATTTGCACACGCTCAATAAGATGCCTGTTTGTTTTATTTTTTATATAGTTTAAACAGTTCAAGTCACAATAAACTTGAAGTACTGTATATCATTTTTTATATACTATAGTTTTATGATAAGGTTAATTTTTAAGTAATACCACTCCACCTCAAGCATTTATCACAAAAAATCTTTTACGTTAAGATTGTCATGCTATGGTGAAGAAGAAAAAAAAGATTTCCTACCTGTTCGTTTTACTTTCAGAGACATCGTTCTTCAGCATGTGACTGCGAGAAACTTCTTTTTTCGTCTCTTTCTTTTTACTCTTCTCTTTCCTTGATAATGTCCTTTTAAAAATCTCGATTACCCCAACTTTTTCCTTATTTTCCAGACAGCCATTCTAAAAAAAAAGTTTTTAATTCACTCCAAAATCCTTACAATAAAAACACTTAGAATAAGATCCTATTAGTTAATACATTAACTAAAATAAGAGGGTTACAGTATTTATTAATCTTGGTTAACATTATTTTTTTAAATGTCAGCTCAGGTATGTCAACAGATAGATTTTTTTAATAATATATTAGCAAATGTTGAAATTAACATTACCTATGTTTAAAGTGTTTTAGAATCATTGTTAATTCATGTTAACTAATGTTAACAAATGAAACTGTATTATAAAATGTTACCAACTAATTTAACTTGCATATTTGATTTAGTAGAATGACAGTGATGTCACACACCTGTGAAGTTACAGAAGTGTCATTCCTCAAGACAAATCGGCCATCTGTATCTTTACTCCAGTTGAGGTGAACCACCAAGGGCTTTTCTGAAAGGTCCAGTTGTCTATCCTCTAAATGGCAAAAACACAGAACATTAAGTGACTGGCAAGAACATGTAATGTCTCAAAACAAGAGTTAAATTCCTGCTTTCACCTTGATTTTTTAAGACCTCAAATAATGAATATGGGAAAGGATTTAGTGCCTCATCACACTGAAACTTCTCCAGCAGGGTTTCAATGACCTCTTTTGTGGTAGTAGAGCTTGAGATACAAATGCATTTGGTGGCACAGTTCCCTGAAATATGGTCTTGGAGGTAGAAACGAACAACTCCATGGAATACAGAGTCCTAAAGAATAAAAAAGATGCAAGTTTATTAAATTGTGAACACAGAAATACTGTAATCAAACTAGCCAGCAATGAGATTAAATGAAAAACACATGGAGAGTTTTCTCCAGGAGAGTTAACTCTCCTACTTCTCACATTTCTTTCCTAAGAAAAAGTCCCCTGCAATCTCTTATCTCGACTGTCTGGAGATATATTAACTCTTTCTCAAAATGTGCTCAGATTTACCAAGACACCAAAATTTCCAACCAAAAGTCAAAGATCGCAGTATGATTCATCAAATTCTTCAAAGGCCAAATTATCTGATCACATGCATTTTTCTTTGCCTCTTTTTCCAACTGAAATTTAGGGGGGAACTTAATAGGATTTAAATAACCCAATAAATACTTCGGAATAGTTTGAAAGTGTACAATTGTACAGTAGTTCTAACATTAGGGAAAAAAAGTGTTCACCTCATCAGGATCAGTGATCTCAAACAGGCTGAGTCGGGTGGAATTCCACTGTCGAATGTTCTCCTGAAGTCTCCGGCGCTCCTCGGGACCCCTTTCAGCGTCATGGTCCGAATCAAAAGCATTTCTTTGCATTTCCTTCATAGCTTGATAAGCTTTGTTTATCACATAAAGATATTTTTAAGTTTATATTTTAAGCAGTCAAATCTGCTGAGGTTCACTAACCTTCGCACTATTCTCGCGTCAAATGCCTGGCACTGATTTTTTTTTCCAGCCTGTTTAACATTCAGACTGATGGTTGATTGTTCAGGTTTGTTTGTCCTAACACACAGCAGTTGAAAGGCTAACCTCATTTCCCATGATGCCCTCAAGTGATGGCTACAGCAACACTGACGTACAAAATGGGGTAGGTCCTAATATGGCCATTCAAGCTTAATTTAGAGAAAGAAATTCTCTATTTTTAGTGCCCATATGATTCTAAACTGTTTTTTTTTTGTCAAATACATGTAGTAAACTGAAATTCAGTGAAAGAAATGTCTAAATCTGTATAGCTCTTCTGAACTAGAATGACTAGATTGGGTGTTGCTGAACGTGCCCCAAAAATGAATGCAATGAATTTATCCTTTTGTTCAGATTCAGACTCTAACATATAACATTATAATAGAGAATTTATAGGTCACCACGTGTTAATTAGCATAATGTATTGTGTGTCTCTAAAAGCATCTCTTCATTAAAAGTGAGTTTCATGGATGACTGGATGTGAATTATGAGCATGAATATAAAACTGCTTAAAGAAACACTAACATACTTCATATGACTATATCACCCAGAACACTGAAATACATAGACATTAGGTATTAAACATGAGGATACATATGAACAAGAACAACAAATAAGCACATTTTAAAAGTGTAGGAATATGTCAAATTTAAAAATCTGTTGTCTGAAAGCATCTAAAGGCAACTACTCTCAGATTTTCCCAATGTCAACTGGCTGCTAGGCATACAGATAGACCCAAGTTTCTGTAAAATAGGCAACAAAAATATGAAAACTACTAACAAAAGGGAGAACGTTGAATTGAATGCGTATTTAAACAAATAAATTAAAGTTCATCAATCTAAACTCTGCATTTTTAAGGCTTTGCCTGCAAGTTTCAAACAATTTGATGGTCTGAAGTTTATATAATTCTCATGTAGTTTGCCTACTTCTGCATTTTGTGAGTGATTTAGAGTTAGAGATTTAGCATTGAGTTTGATCACATTTATGCATTGCTATGTTTTAATGTGCTGTGAGTGTGAGTGGTTGGTGTGCTATTTCAGGTGTTTTGAGTGATTGCTATGTTTTTGATAGATGGGTCAATGGTCAATTTGGGTATATATATCTAACAGAGTTTAAATAATGTTGTTAAATTCATGCATTAATTGGGAAAACTCGACATTGGCTGATGAGTCACTCGCATTTGCGTGCGTGATATTGCGGACGGAGCTACTTCACCACCAGCAGAGTCTCACATCTCTCGCTGCTGATAAGTCGCATCAATAAGCGCTGCCTCATAAAAACGGAGTTTAGATTGTTTTCAAGTGCAAAGTTGGACTTTTATACTACACACAAGTTTACTTCATTTGTCTGTCAGTTCCTAGTTCTGTCAGTCGAGTCAATGTGTTATTTGCGATGATAAAATGCAGTGTGTCTGTGTTAACCTTCTTGTCAACTCCGAATCTCTGTTTATTTCCTTTAAGACATCTAAGCAACGTGATGCACTGCACGCTAACCAGCTTTTGGTCGTGTTTGTCCCAGGTATGTTTTATATTCGGATTTGTCAAGTTCTGTGTAAAAATATATATTTCCTAATTGAGTTTTAGCATTAAAGGAGAACTCCGGCCAAAATGAACCTTTGGTCTAATTACACATTGTTACCTAGTCAACCGTTATCTGAGATTTGTTTTCATGATTATCGAATGTAAAGAGTTTTATCTCTTAAAACTGTTTAGCCTATAATGCTAGTATATAGGGCATAGAGTCATGGCAAATAAAAATCGCTAGTTAATACCACTAACAAGGCTCAAAATAGCCCCACACTAACGTGGTAGCATAATGAGGGTCCCTACCTGCAAACCGAAGCATTGAGAATTTTGTCAGAGTCCAGACAGTTTAATAAGATACTTTATAAAGACAGTCCACTTCGCGTATACAGGCAGGAGCCATCTTTGAAAAACAGTCTCGACCAGTAGAACTACGAACGCCGATCCAAGTGAGCTGAACTGTGTCTTGGAATCTCATATGGTCCGTTGTTTCCGGAAGAAAGCACTGAGCGCATAAGAGAAGCACTGAACGCAACACAGAAAATAAATAAATAAAAATAATTTTAAAAAGAGAGACTTAGATCGGCACTGGATCGGCGTTCGTAGTTTGACTTGTCGAGACTGTTTTTCAAAGATGGCTCCAGCCTGTATACGCGAAGTGGACTGTCTTTATAAAGTATCTTCTTATTAAACTGTCTGGACTCTGACAAAGTTCTCAATGCTTCGGTTTGCAGGTAGGGACCCTCATTACGCTACCGTGTTAGTGTGGGGCTATTTTGAGCCTTGTTAGTGGTATTAACTAGCGATTTTTATTTGCCATGACTCTATGCCCTATATACTAGCGTTATACTAGCGTTATAGGCTAAACTGTTTTTAGAGATAAAACTCTTTACATTCGATAATCATGAAAACAAATCTCAGAGAACGGTTGACTAGGTAACAATGTGTAATTAGACCAAAGGTTCATTTTGCGCCGGAGTTCTCCTTTAACACACATGCTACATGCTCCCACGTACTAAACTGAGTAACTGCGCCATTTTAGGTCGGCGTTCTTCTCTATCTGTATTTCAATTATACAAAAATATGTAAAATGATGGTTACTAAGTTAATAGTTTCTCTGCTTTAATGTGAATTTATGAGAAATGAGAACAGAGCAGTGTTTTATATTTTATTTCTTTATTGTACGTTTTATTTTGAGTTTTATTCCACGATGGGCCCTATTTTAACGATCTAAAATGCAAGTATCAAGCGCGAAGCGCAAGTAACTTTGTGTGGCCAAGCATGCGCGCTTAAAATAGCATTATGAACAACGCGCAACCCGCCACTGACTTTAGACTAGGTTTTTTCTGGTCAGTGGCGGAATTGTTTTCTGGAACTGCAAAATAGCACTAGGGAATGTTTGCGCCGAAACACGCCTCCTTTTTGCGCCGACACGCCCAGGGAGCGCAAGTTCATTTCCTAGTTTACCGACGTGCGTCTGTGGAGGGAAAAGCCCGCTTTGCGCGGGTGCAAAATAGGAATGATAGATGCGTCAGTGTACAAAGTAATTTGCGCCGGGTGCAAGATAGGGCCCTATATGTTCACGATCACATTGTAAAAATGTATATTCAGCAGAGTCTCACATCTCTCGCAACTGACGCGCTAACTAGCTTTTGGTCGTGTTTGTCACAGTTTTGTCTGTGACAGGCCCAGTAAAGTGCAATCTTGAGTGACCATCCACCTGCTCTCAGTGTGATTCCATCCACACAAACACACACAGTCACATTGGTGCTGTGACCCGGATGGGAGTGAGGTTTAGGGGGGTGAGTGTAATGGAGGCCAGCTAGTAGTCGCTGTGCGAGTAAACCTCACTCCTCTGATCTCAATACGTGCTCTAGCGACGGACGCTAGAGGCTGCAGTCTTTAGCCTCCTTGTTAGAGCGCCTGACTCCCACACTGGATACCCGAGTTCGAGGCCCACACAGAGTGGGGCGATTAAACATATAAGATGGATACTTTGTTCTCAATAAGCCCGCCTGAACATTTCGACGTCAATGATTTTGGCAACTGGCCAAATTGGATTAGACGATACGAGAGATTCCGCTAAGCAGCGGGAATTAGTGAAAGAAGCCAAGAATATCAAGTTAATTTGCTTATCTACACAATGGGAGATAAAGGTAATGATATCATGTCAATATCACATATCAATATCAATAGCTGGATCTTTCTGAAGAAGACAGGAAGAAATATGTTTTGCAGTCATATGCAGTTTGAAGCATCACTTGGTCATCAGGGAAGAGTGATAAAACACCCAGTGTTTGTGATACCAAGACTTGTATCCCTTCTCTTTGGACTACCTGCCATAAAAGAGCTGGACTTACTTCACACAGTGGATGCAATTCAATTGTCAGACCCGAACTACAAAGAGCTGTTCCCAAAAGTCTTTACAGGACTTGGAAAATAAAGCTGATGATATCATGTGCACGCTGGCTCTTTCTGAAGAAGACAGGAAGAAATATGACAAAGTTAAGAAGCGTTCGGGAAACACTTCGTATGTAAACACAGCGTGATCTACGAGAGAGCTAAATTCAACAAGAGGTGACAAGAACCGGGCGAATCAGCTGAAATGTTCATCACTGCAGTTCATAAACTAGCTGAAAATTGCCAGTATGGAGTCTTTCAAGAGGAAATGATACGAGACAGACTGGTAGTTGGCATACGAGATCACGGATTGTCAGAGAGATTACAGCTTGACCCCGAGCTCACACTTATTAAAACCATCACAAAGATGCAGAAAAAAGTAGCAGACGATCTTAAGACAAGCAAGTGGTGACTCAAATGAGGTAAACATGGACGTGTTAAAATACATAATGAAACCAAAATTTGCACAAAAAGGACCGCAAAGACGACCAGACAGTACAAAACACAATGAGGCCAGCAAGGGATGTGGCAGATGTGGAAAGCCACAAGCACACTCACTGAACAGCTGTCCAGCGAGGGAGGCTGAGTGCAGGGAGTGCAAGAAAAGAGGCCACTTCGCTGCAGTCTGCAAATCACAGAAAAGACTGGAGAAAATATCTCATTGTGAGGAGACAGAGAGCATAGAGACTGTGTTCCTGGGAGTGGTAAAGTCTGAGAATTTGACTGATGTCTTGCAAAAGTCCATTGCAGTGAACGGTGAGCAAATTATTTTCAAACTGGACACAGGAGCAGCAGTAACAGCCATCCCAGAGAGCATGTACTCAAAGACGAGCCACGGTGTTCTCAGCCCGCCAACAAAAAGCTGTGTAGACCAAGCAACATGTCAATACAGGTGAGAGGGCAGTTTAAAGCATCACTTGGTCATCAGGGAAGAGTGAAATAACACCCAGTGTTTGTGATACCAAGACTTGTATCCCCTCTCTTTGGACTACCTGCCATAAAAAAGCTGGACTTACTTCACACAGTGGATGCAATTCAAACGCCAGACCCGAACTACAAAGAGCTGTTCCCAAAAATCTTTACAGGACTTGGAAAACTGGAAGGAGAGTACAAAATCAAAGAGTTAACCACTCCATTTGCTCTGTCTGCCCCTCGTCGAGTGCCCTTGCCCATGATGAACAGAGTCAAAGAGGAGTTGAAAAGAAACTTCTATGGAAGAAATAGGAGTTATAGCGCCCATTGAAGAAGCAACTGAGTGGTGTT